CCAAAGTTAATGACAGCTGCACTTTCCCGCGCATCCGAGATAACTGTCAGCCATGTTCAAATCGTTCAAGCGGGAAAATCTTTTCATTTAGCAACGCCCTACCCCTAACCGATGTTACATACATTTTCTTGCGGTTTTCACGCAAAATACCGCTTAAACGGGGTTTAAATCGCGTTTAGCATGCGCAGGAATTGTTGGGCGGGGTCCGTGACTCCTCCCCACTGCAATCCGCCAATGAGAGTTAGGGTTCAAAGTTTCTCGCTCGGCTGCTTTGCAAAGTACGCATTCAAACGGGGCTTAGAGACGTAGTTATTGAGTTGATTTTTAAAAGACCGTTTTGAATGTAAATCGAAAAGTTAAGCGCGGTAAAGAGGCTGCCCGGAACTCCAATTAAATTGATAGTTGCGGTTTGAGTGCGGGTTTTGTTGTGAACACGACAGATTTTCGCTCGAGTGACAATCAACATTAAAAATGACTTTTCGAAATAATGGAATAGTAATTTGCGCCTTTTGTATTCTATTTTTTTTACAATTACTGTAATTGTAACCTTCATTTTAATTCTGGGTGAGTGAGATGCATTTCAATCGATTATTTGTTATTGAAATTCACCCGTTTCTTAAGAAATATGCTACTCCTTATTTGTTGCTAAATCTAATTGCGAAGGATAAGTGGATAGATGACATAGAATGCAAAGTACAATCAAACAAAGTTGCGAGTGTTGAATTATCTTAATTAATCATAATAATAAAATATGTGAATATCTGTACCGGAGTTTAGAAAAACTTCCTACATTTTACGAGGCCGTTGAAAGGGTGGATGTTTGAGGAGGCTGTATATTTATAAAAACTGAAGTTAGAAACCTAACGAGTGATGTAAACGAAGAGTCGAGTGTTACTATTATTATTTACACTATAATTAAGTGAGGGCCAGCGGTGGATTCCAAAAAAAAACAAAATATATTAAAATTACTTTAATTAATTATTAATTTTACAATAATGACTTAACTAAATATAACTATTTAATCGGCCCGATATTAGGTGCACGACAAATAATCTATATTATAGACTTAACTAGTTGAGAATTGACCGGTCCGATGTGAGGTATCCGATCAAAAGCTGCTGGTCTCTGTTGTCCGTTTCCTTATATAACGTAGTTGCGTAAGATGGGTACTGGTATTAGTTATGCTGGGCAAAGGGAGTGCAATGGATATGTAACACTATCATAGTTTTATTATTATTTATATGTTACGCTATGGCTATAAAACTATTTAATCACCTTCCTAGAAGTTATAGATGTTATAGAATTTTTAAAAAGATGCCTTATAGCGTATTTAGAACATAAGTTTGACACCAATTATAAATAACTTAACTTATTATTATTATGCCATTATGTTAATGTTCTTATTATATATGACTTTATACAAATTAATGTGACATTTGCATGCCTATTTATATATGGCGGATTTTTATAATAAATCGATCTAATTGTACCACTATCTTGGCAAATAAACGATTTATTATTAGATATTATTTTAATAAATTTCGGTTATTCTAATAGAATTTTATTGTTTTGCTTTATCCACAAAATTTTCTTTTAACAAAATGTTAAGGTTATGTGTAATTACGGCAAGTATATTTATTCCATTAGATACAGCAGTGTTGGCCTAGTGTACTGCTACTGAGCGACTTTAATCACTGATGTTGTAAGTTCGACCCCCGACTGTACACCGATGGACTTTTCTGTTTTCGTGCGCATTTACCGCATTTACTCTCGTACCTTGATAGATAACCGGTAATCGTAAGGAATGCAGGCACCGAAGGCAAGAAAAATAAATACATAAATATCAGGCCAATCAGACCAAAGGTTGTATATTTATATAAAAACTAGATGAACTCGTGAACTTCGTATAACCTACATTTATTTGTGTCTAAGCGTAATGCAACATTTTTAAAACAGACCAAAGACAACCTCAAATTACAGCCATGAAACACACATTTCTGAAGGCACCTATACGTGACAACCAAGTGACACTTCTTTATTTCTAAAAAGACAAGAACACACAATAGGAACAGATTTTAATGAAAAATTTATTTGTCGTTTTTAGTATTTTTCTTTACTTATTATTTATGTTTTCCACTGTTTAAACCTTCTCTGGACTTCCACAAATAATTCAAGACCAAAATTAGCCAAATCGGTCCAGCCGTTTTAGAGTTTTAGCGAGACGAACGAACAGCAATTAATTTTTATATATATAGATTTAAAAACTTTATTTATATATTCGGTATTCAAATTTACGCTTGTAAGTTGTAAGCGACAACGCCATAGACGAACCATTTTTTAAAGCTCAATCGAATATAGAACGCAAGGGGAATGTTAATTTTTTTTTGTGTTTGTGGCATCATAGCTGCCAAACGAATGGACCTAATTGGTCCACGGTTGTTTAAAATTTAAAAAGGCTTCGTTTATAATATAAAAGTTATAATCATCAAATAAGAATGTTTTTCTACTAAGGCACAATTCTTACATATAACATTCTTTATATCACCATAGAGATTTTAATTATAATTATATACGTTGTAATAAGATAACGTTATTTTATATTTACATAACAAAAACACGAAATAGGAGCAAAATTAAATGAATTAAATGAAGACCAAGAATGTTGCGATATTACTGCTAGAAGCAGTTACTTCCAGACAACCCGAACATAATATAAATATTTAAAAAAACATACAGTACAGAATTATAAAAATACATACAGGAAAATATAACAAAGATTTATTGGTACGCGCCAAGGCTGTACATTTTGCTCACTCTGGCTTTCATAGTTTTATAAGCGTGGCGATTTCCTAAAACGTCGAAGTTAAGCCCCGAGAGTTTATCCAGACGTAGGCACTCTCTTCAACAGTTACATTGAACAGAACATTTCATTATTTCGCTTATATTCTATTGTTGTTCTTCTTCTTCTTCTTAAAGTGCCTCTCCACTACTGGAGGTTGGCGATCAGCTCGTCAAACTCCCTCTTATTTTTCGCCAAGCGCATCAGCTGTTCTACGTTGGCCACTCCCGTCCATTCTCTAATATTGCGGAGCCACGACTTCCTCCTTCTGCCAGCGCGTCTATTCCCCTCGACCTTGCCCATCATGATTACTTGAAGAAGTCGGTACCGTTCGTGTCGAAACACATGTCCCAAGTAACTTATCTTCTTCTTTTTAATGTTCAACGTGACTTCTCGGGATCGTTTGACGCGCCGTAGAACTTCATCGTTCGTGACTCTATGGACCCAGCTTATCCTCAGCATTCTTCGGTAACACCACATTTCAAAGGCGTCAAGTTTCTTAATGGTTGCCTCCTTCAAGGTCCAAGCTTGTTGTTCGTGAGTGGTTAATATAGTAAAAGGATTTTATCCTCTATTATTTAAAGCACCCCGATGACCCAAATAATTGTTTCTTAAATGTAAATTTAGTCTACGAAGTCTGCTCGGCTACAGGCAGAGCATTACACAATCGAATGGCAGTGATGGTGAAGGAGGAATTGAAAAAGTTGGGTCTATGCGAAGGGAACAGGAGTGACCGGTTGAGAGAGGAGGGATGGACGATTATTGGAGTCAAGAAAATAGAAGTTATCCTATAAATATACAGGAGTTTTGGGATCGAAAAGTATGGAATACCTACAGGAAGAAAAGAATTTGTTATATATTTTATTACGCTTAGGTGTATTGGTAATTCGATGTATTCCCGTTAGTATTTGTGATAATTATCCCTTCTATGCAACATGCAAACTAAAAACTTATGATTTATCATGTTTTTCAAAAAAAGTCAAAAGCAGCATCAAAAATGTATTTATAAAACGAATAAATTCTGGTTATTGTTCAATATTAAAACAAGAATTATCGGTCCACATTTTAAATTGCGAGTCTAAAAACGATATTATTTCAATATTATTTTGTTGAGTAGAAAAAACGTTATGAAACTTAGCTTGCAGATTTTTTCTAGGTTCCTTCCTAGGCGTTATGCACTGTTGGGGAGCTAAGAAAGCGCTAATGTTTTTAAATTTACAATTTTCATAGTATGAGACCTTATTTACTGAAGCTAGGTCTAGTGGGCTTGGCCACGCCTACTCCAGAAATATCCTCACGATATTTATGGCCGAGTCGGTGATGGCCGGCGCCACCCTTGCCACCTCCTGTGCAGTGGCGTAACAATAGGGTGACAGGGCTGGCAAAATACCACGGGCCCCCGACCCAAGACGGCCCCTGCCCAAGAGATATTACGTTCTATGGATGAATGTGAAGTCCTCAATACGCATTGGGCTAGCTTGGGGACTACAGACCATTCCCTCTCGTCTGAGAGAGGAGGCCTATGGCCATTAGTGGGACATATACAACGTGTAATTGAGTACGCTGAAAATCTCGAAGTTTAATATAATTAAACTGAGTACGTGAAGACTTTTACTGATAGGGCCCCATCAAAAGAATTTGCCACGGGCCTTAGATGGTATAGTTACGCCACTGCTCCTGTGCTATTCATCTTACTAACATATAATAATCCTGAGGAAGAATTCATCCAGCTGCAATCTGTGCTTGACCATTCAGATAGCCCATCCTGGGATACCCTCATGCCAGTCTCGAGCTCTGGATCGCACCTGGCTCTTTCGAAAGTCGGACAGCCAACGAGTAAACCACCGACTGGTCGGTTCTTTCGTCACAGTCTACAAAAGCTCCGTGGCTTTTTAGGATTTGCGCCATGTGGAGTGCAAAGCACCTTGAATTGTTTGTACGCCGCGTTTGCATCTTTGATAAAGATCTTGGTGACTGCGACTGTTTTCTCTTTCAAATTGTGTTTAACAACATGTTTTAATTTGAAACTATTAAAGCAATTATTCTAAAAAGTTAAAGCTTTCAAATTCATAACAATAAATAAACATGGATTTACATATTGCTTAAAAGAAACACCAAGAAATTGGAAAAATATTTATTTATAGATAAATTAATAACAAAGCTAAACAGGCGAAAACTGAATCATCGTCTTGATATCTTTAACTAGCACTTCCAGGAACCCGCGTTGGAGTTGAGATTGATTCTGCAAAAGATTTAATATGTAAGAACATTGACTTAGAGCATAATAATTACTATTAAAAAAAAAAAAACATGGCGATTAAAAAGAGTGGCGGAGAGTTTATTACCAGTTCTTCTCTTCCGTTCTACGCCCTTGATTTGAGAACTGGCAGTAAATGTAAAATTAGAAGCATTAATATGTATAGGTTCTCAGCTCTTCCATAACAAATTTACAGTAACTGTGTACTTGTATATGAAAATAAAACAAAAAATCACAATTTCAATTATTTAAGGAAGTGATATTTATATATACACAATATATTTAAATGCTGAATGTCAGAACTGATGCCATAAATATTAAGTGATGATTTTTTTTTCAGACACGAGACAGTTACTGTATTAAGTATCATATTTGTATGTTAAACAAGAAAAACCTACTTTCGTTGTATCAATTAGTTCATCAACGAAGCGATCATTGAATACTGTAACAAGCGCTTTCCGCAGTTCGATAGATTCCTCTCCGGCCAACACGCCCACTGCTTGCGTTCTTGATAATGCTGTAAATTAAAATTATGTAAAAAAGGCGGCAATTATCCAGTGATTCCCATCAAAGCCCGTGCGTTTAATTTGTTTGGCGATAGCCCTTGCTTGAGTAAATGTTGAAATCGGGGAAAGTTATCGCAATTTTCATAAAAAAATAATCAGTTTAATTGAACTTTTTAACCGAAGGCCTTTCACTTATGACTTAACCGTCTCTTTTCGTCACAGCCAACATAAAATTTGAAAGATAGAGAAGAAATATTACTTTACCTAAAACGTGTTAGGCACTGAAGGCTGATCGATGATATTTTTTATAGTCAAATAGCTGTAAAAAATATCAAAGAAACAGATGTATGAAAATACTATAAAACAAAAGTTAGATTAGATTTATGAACTATCATTAGTTACCCTTTTAAATATATAGATTTTTATACATATATATATGATATAGACGCCCTGAAACCAATACCTAAAATATACTCCGTACTAGATTATACATTATTTATTAGAACACGTTTTGAACCCACAACCTCATAATCTATCGAATACTAACCACCATCTATGGGGTACACTATTTTACCTGCATATTTAGGTGCGGCAAAGATAGCTCTCAAATATATTCTCGTATGCGCCCATAACAAGTATAACGCAGAATGCATTGCATGCGTACAGTACTGAACTTCGCGTCTACGTATATCGGCACGTGCACGTAATTGTGAAATGACGGCCGCGCGCGCTTCCAAAGGTGATGACGGCGTTGATTCGTCGCCTAACAGTTTCTTCATATCTAGAATAAATGGAAGATTATGTATAAATATTTCTACTATTGAATTAAATTTTTCAGAAATTTTTATTCAAGGTTCGAAAAAAACTAGTTTTTAATAGCTTTAATTAAATTCAATTCAATTTAGTCAAATTTGGTATAAAAATATTTGATATGTGCGCGAAATAACTTCGCCAAAACGAAAATAAAAAATTATCTAGTTGTTATAAAATCTATTTAAATATGATCAAAAATTAATTATACTAGACTGACAAAGATTGTATCCTTTTTTTCAATTTCCATGGCCTATGGCATTATATACTACTACATATAATACTTACCAACTAGCGTCATAGAAGGTACGCTATGCAACTGATGGTGTACGGTAGCCAGCAGTTTACTATGGGAATGGAGGCGTCTCAACAAATGCTGAAGCAAATCTAATGCGGCGGAACCGGCGCGTCTTGCCCCTTCGTTGGTAGAAAATGCTTCACTTTCTATTGTGTTGCGAGCGAAAAGAAGGAGGTTGCATACAATCTGAGAATAAATCAACAAATATACTTTTTAAGAGATGTCATCTTATGATAGAAGATTACGATTATCTTATTGTAGTAATGAAATAAATTGGATAACTTGTATACCGCTCCGAGGGCTTTTTTGGAAATAGACAACACATATACTATATTGAAGTCTCCTGGAGGTACACTGTCAAAAATCTATATAATCGTATCGGCAAAACTACCCTTAAATTTGGGATGAGAGAACAGCTATCATCGTATATATGGATGGAAATGGTCACGTAACCAAACTTTTGTATAAATCTTAAAGGCTAATCGGGTCGCATTGCGTTACAAGTATAGCATCCACCTGAAGCTAGTCCACTTGAACTTTTTAGGTTCAAAGACAGGACTTATTTTTGATTTTGTTTTACACGCGAATCTGATCCCTTCCCAGTGAAGGAAAACAAAATTATCATTTCTATATTTCCTAAATTTATATAAATTATATAATGGCTGAACTTGCTCAAAGAAATCAAATATTAATGTTAATAAATTTAAAATACAATACAAATTGTTTTCCATTATATTATAAAGGGTTGAGTAGAGGGGTGAAAGTTAGGGGTTGTATGTATTTTTGTATGTTGACTGATTTAAAAAAAAAATATTTGGGGTGGACACTTTATCACTTAGGGGTTTGAAATATAGATAGTAGCCGATTCTCAGACTTACTGAATATTAATAAAAAATTCATAAGAATCGGTCGAGCCATTTCGGAGGAGTATGGGACCGAACATTGTGACACGAGAATTTTATATATATAGAGATTACATGTTAATAATTTTTTTTTTTTTTTTTTTTTTTTTTTTTTTTTTTTTTTTTTTTTTTCACATATTTCCTTTATATACTCTTTTCATCCCTTTTAAAATAATTATTAATTTTTTAAAAAAATTTTAAAAAAATTTTTAAATTTTTGTCCCTTTTGTGGTTTTCGCTCCCTTTCCCTCGCCTTTTTTTCTCTCTTTTTTTTTTTTTTTTTTTTTGCCTTTTTGGGGGCGGGGGGGGGGCCCCCGGGGGGCCCCCCCCCCTTTCCCCTCCCCCCTTTTTTTTCCCCCTTTCCCCTCCCCCCCCGGCCCCCCCCCCTTCCCCCCCCGGGGGGGAAAATTGGGGGTTGGGGGTGGTTTTTTTTTTTTTTTTTTTTTTTTTTTTTTTTTTTTTTTCTCCCCTTTTTTTTTTTTTTTTTTTTTTTGTGTGGGGGGGGGGTTTTACATGTTAATAATTACATTTAAATTATCAAATGGATAAAACAAATTTAAAAAAAATTATTGTTATTCAATCATGCGTTCACATCAGATATGAGCAAAATTAAGATTAAGCTAAAACCTTACTTTATAATACAGAGTACAATCATCACTCGAGTCTATATCGGCTGGTGGCACGTGGAACCTGGCCAATAGTGTCAGCATCAATGCATGTACCCGCTGCAAGGCAGCACCAGATCTCTGCAAGGCTGTGTCTGATTGGATAGCGCTGAACACTTCCCGGTCTGACGTTCGTGCGATGACGGACGTGAGCGCGGCCGCTTCTATTAAAAGACCTTGTGGCGAATTTGGATGTGTAGCCCTAGAATTAAATTAAATACAGATTAAAATAAAACATTTCAGCCAATGTAAATAAAACCAAGAATAAACAACCTCTTTAGAAACTATCTATTGGTGGAAACTCTACAAAAATCCGTTACGTCCTTTTCAAGTTTATCGCGTTTGTAAACAAATAGACACGGCCGGGACAACATTTTGTATGTGACGATAATATTGACAAAATTAAAAAAAAAAGATATTAACCGTCAGTAGAAAACAACAGATCATATATCAGAACTAGCGGAAGACTCACATTAGACTAAATAAGGATTAAACATTCAACAGCTATTTTCGTTTATATCTCGTATATGAATATGATCGCCTCAGTAGAAAATCTTCCGTATCAGTCCATTATCCTAAAGTAATCTCATTAAACACAATAAGTATAGTGAATCTAGCATAAACTCAAAATCAATGTTTAAAGAAAACATAAATTAAGGATTAATCTTTGAAATATCTATGAACTATATAATAGTCTTAAATCTAAAATCTGCTATACCTTAACACCATATCGACGCACTCCAAATGGCTGAGCAGAAGGTGAGTGATGTGTAGAACACAGCTGTGATTCTGCGAGCCGAGAGTCGTTAGAAGTGCGTCACACAACGTCAATGCTGGGACCAACATTTGACGGAATCTATAAAAAAGGTTTCACTTTATATTAGGTCCTACATATGAAATTGGCGTATTTCGTACTGGCCACTTTAATCACGATGTTCTCCTCTTTGGTAAGGAATTCCAAATTCAAATTTGTACAGCTATTTACTCATGTATTTGTGCTTCAATGACCGTCATTCATTTGTTTTTTTTTCTTTTTGCGTCACTCATTTTACAAAATGGAAAACTTAAAGTATCGCATTATTTACGAGTACGAGTTCCGCCTGGCACTAGTCTGCGGAAATCGAAGGGTATTTGTATGGCGGTCATTCAAAAGAAAACAGTCTTTTTTAGTTCCAACGTTTTCGTTCTGGAAATTTCGACCTGCAAACAAGCAGCCTAACAGTATAATGAAGTATTGAAGGCTATCGTGGAAGCGGATCCATCGCAAACACGTCCGAGTTAGCTGCAGGCTGCGGTGTTAGTGATAAAACTGATTTAATTCACTTGAAGCAAATTGTAAAGATTAAAAAGCTTGAAAGATGGGTACCTCACAATTGACTAACAACGGCAACGTCTATTACATTACTGAACGCAGTATGAAGGTATTTTAAACCGAATCATTACCTGTATGAAAAATGGATTCTTTACATAATCGGAAGCGCTCACGCAATGGTTGATCCTGCCAGGCAGCCAAATCCTAACCAATCAAGCAAAATTAACCCCAAAAAGTTACTTGTAAGGTTTGGTGGACTAGTGCCGGTATGTTCATTGCAGTTTTCTTAAATCTCCAATATTACGGCTGATGTCTTTTCAGCAATCCAAACATGATGGAAAAGCTAGCGGCTAAACAACCTAGGCTGGTCAATCCTCACCACTCTCTTCACACAACGCTACCCACACTCAGCGGCTACAAATTAGAAGAGCTTCAATTGAATATCTAAGAACCCTCCTACTCCCCGGACCTTGCTCTAACAGATTCCATTTTTTTTTAAATTTGGACAACTTTGGCAACAAATTTGGCAAGGGAAAAATTTAACTCTGATGGGGCAGTCCAAATCCTTTCACAGATTTTATTGATTCCCGTCCGACTGGTTTTTTATAAAGGGATCAATAACTACCTATGAGATGGCAAAAGTGCATAGAAACAATGGTTCATACTTTGATTAATTAAATATATTATATTTAAAAATATTCGACTTTTTGTTCCTCCCTAAAACCCAATTTCATATGTAAGGACCTACGAGGGGAGGTCCAAAAGTTCGTGGAATGAAAGGCTTTTAGTAAAAATTAAAAGTAAATTTATTTTTCCTTTTCAATATAATCACCCTTAAGCTGAATACATTTATTAGATCTATGAATTAATTTTTCTAAACCATCGTAAAAATATTTTTATCTTTTCCCTCAAAATGAGCCAAAATTGCCTCCTTTACCTCATGTCGTCGGAAAATTTCCTTCCCCTTAAGTCTTTTTTAAATTGGGGAAAAATAAAAATACTTGGGGCCAGATCTGGACTATAGGGTGGGTGGACTAGTATTCGAAGCCATCTTGTAGACACCATTGCAACTTTGCTCTTTGAACGGCGCGTTGTCTTGCAAGAGCAACACACCCTTGGTCAATTTTCCCCGACGTTTTTCTTTGATGGCATCCTTTAATTTTTCTAGTATTGTTGCGTAGTATTCTCCGGTTATGGTCCTCCCTTTTCTTTATAATCAATCAGTATTATCCCTCACAATCCTAAAAACAGTAGCCATCAACTTTCCAGCCGACTCCGACACTTTGAATTTCTTTGGCGGTGGTGTCCGTTTTTATGCCATTGCATGGACTCTTGTTTGGACTCAGGCTCAAGTGATGAACCCATGTTTCATCGCCTGTAACAATTCGCTCCAAAATCATCCAGGATCGTCCTACACAACTCCAAAAATGTTTTGACCTTCACCGCTCTGTTTTGAAGCGGCGTGAGCATTCTCGTACCCATCTTGCACTGACTTTTGTCATACCCAGGTGGTCATGTAGGATTCGCAAAATTGTGGTATCTGATACTCCAATAATGCAGATAACTGTTTTTCTTCAAACGGGTGTCCTCCAGTACAATTTTTCCACTTTTCGACATGTCTGATGTGGTGGCCTCAACTGGCCTTCCTAGCGGGGTCGTCTTCAATCGACTCCCGACCATGTTTAAAAAGACCATCCATTTGTAAATCATTGATTTACTAGGGCACTGTTCCCCGTAAACAGTTTCCATTTCATTCAAAATGGTCTGACGTTCTTTCCTTGCTTGGTAAGGAATTTAATGACAGCACGGTGTTCAATTTTCTCCATAGTTTCAGTTTTCTTCCGGATTGACGTGTTTAGCAGGCGAGTGTTCGTAAACGAATGACGCAATAGGGCTGAAACTCCATTTATATACTAATTATGAGTCCCCAATTAGTATGACACTAAGCGAGCGCCCCTATCCCCCCTCCCCATCCCCTCCATTCCACGAACTTTTGGACCTCCCCTCGTAATATTTCATGTCCAACGAACTGAAAAATGGACTACCAAAATAGTATCTCCTGCGTATTTAAAGAAACAAAACCCCTCAGCTTTATTACAATAGCATAGATTATCTATTAGTGGCTAAATCAAATTATTAATATATATACTATATTACTTATGGGCCAATCTATACCATGATTGGTAGGCACTATTTATTAAAATTATCAAAGCGTAGTTTTATCCAAAGTATGAGTTACGTTATGGACGATTTTGCGGTCCTGTTCAATAACATTTTATTAACGGTTTATACGTTTATTTACTACTGGATTAAGCCAGAATAATAAACAATATATACCAATATAAAATAAGATAAAACTTAAATTTGAAATGTATATATAGTCGTATAAATATAAAATAAATATAAAAAAGTATTTAGAAGATAATCTAGCCACATACTTGGTACTATAATCAATCAAGTAATTTTGTTTAACTCACCGATTAGCCACAGAAGGCACAAAATCCGTGTCTTTCGAGCCGTATCCAGTATGAATATCGGGATGGCAATCCAATGCCTTCAAATTCGCGAGACAGGACAACGCACCTTGAGCTAACACAGTTTCGGCCCCGAGCCGACTACCCGAAATTTTGATTAACAATGTCATTTTAGATTCGTATACGTATAGAACTCTCAGCGATTTTGGTTTCGGTTCAAGTGCCTGAAAGTAAATAAAACAATTGACTTACGTAAACAAGAGAAGTTTCTAGCAATTGGTATGTGTAATGTATCTAATACTCCTTAATAACGCCCTTCACTTGCGAACTGAGAGTTGAATTCAATTTCTAACCTAGTTTGAATGAATATATTGGGGTGATTCATAAGAAAGACTTGATTGGTGCGTACAGCTACAAGAATAAAGTTATTCTGAGTTTAGATATTGAGAATACTACAGTGTCTAGACTTGTTATTCACGAAAGAAATTCACACACTGCTGAAAACATTCATACAATCGTGAAATTTTTAAGAAATCAAATATATGAAATATATAAGAAAAAGATCTACGAAGTCTGAAAAAGACATCAGGCGCAGCGCTAACCTTGCAACTTCCTAGCAATCCGCGATATCGCAGACTACTCGGTAATGATGATGCAAAATGAATCTAGAATAGTTAAAGACAACTCACCTCTCGCAACCCCTCATCGTCCTGCAACAAGCTATCAATGAGGCTCCGCAAATATCCTTGATTCGTCAACGTGTTCATCCAATCCGTACCGGGGTTGATCTCTATCAAAGTATCCAGACACGACAGAGCCACCATCCGACAAACATCGTGCCCTCCCCCAACGCAATCGCTGCACACTATCGCGCACAAATTTTCACCAAAACTATTTATAACCTCAACAACCATTGACTTCAAACTCGACTCCTCTTTACTCGACCGAGATTTCGAGCTGTCCAAACGAGAAACGTAAGACAAATTAATCTCTTCCTCTGGGTCGGCCGCGCTGGGCTTTAAATTCACGATGTTTAGGAAATTCAACAACGCCCCATACAAGTTCACCCTCATCTTCTGCGTCGAGCCACCGGACACCAGAATCCAGCTGAGAATTTTATGCAGAATGAACTTCAGCGTTAGGGATTTCGTTTGCATTATTTGGTTGGAGGGCCCAAAAAATGTCGTCTCAAATTCTGACGATTTCAAATTCGACTCCCGCTTTTGGAGGATATAGCAATGTCGTAAGTTGACTAGAAGTAGTAGTACAGTCCCCGAAGCCAAGTTTCCGATTTGAGGCAAAACTTCTGCTGGTGGAATTTTGTTGAGGAGGTCTTGCAGGATGTTTAGGAGGAGAGTCTTTCTGGCATCGAGGGACAGCAAGTCGTGTGGAGCAACACAGAAGATAATTTCAGTGAGCTGTCGCCATGAGTCGTAATAATGTGTGAGTGTAGCTGCTAGATTGCGCTGTTTGTTTATTTCTGTCACGTAGTCTAACACCTGAAAGGAAATATACTTTCGGTCATCGGGTAATAGTTTTGTTATTTTAAAGGCACATCCTTATTAAAACTATTTTTTTTACAAAATATGTTAAATAGAAAGTAATCGGATAGTAGTTAGGTCAGTAACACACGTACGTACATATATTTTTTTAAATCGTCTTGGAAGGTGCCGAAAGCTACATCTACATCATATATGACAAGAAATTAACAAAAATTGTGTATGTCTTACTATGGGATAATGGAATTGAAATTAAAATATTTATATAAAATTTATTACTACTACCACCTGAAACTTTACAAAATTTACAGGATTTATTTACAAGGACGGAGTTGGCATAGGCCACGAAATATTCACAATTTTAATAAATCATGAACGAATACGAATTATGCAATCTTAAGTGACTTAATTAAAACATTGTAATACCTTCTGAATTTCAACAGCAACCATATTTCTTTGCGGTGCCGATGCCCGTAGCGATGCAAGCTCACGTGATAATAGTGCGTGTACCCGCGTAACGCTGATGCGTTTACCGCCCAAACCTAATAAATTACATTTTATTTAAAAACGATATTTCGGATAAGGTTTTACAAAGAACAAGAATATATAATGGACTATATTTGTAATTCAACATAAACAGATTTTATTGATTTTTCATTAATTTTCTTTGTATAGTTTCGTGAAAAAAAAACAATAAAGGCTAACTCTATACAGATAAATTTTCTTAAACTAATACTACAAAAAAAAGGTTTGTATGCTTGCAACAAATAAACTCAAAAACTACTGAACCAATTTCAAAAATTCTTCCACCCATAGAATGCTCCATTATCCCTGAGTAACATTCTTTGAAAAATATTTATAATATATTACTATTCTTAGACCGGCTCACTAATGACAATGATACATATAAATTATTATATTTAGTAGTTTACTAATAATATTAAAAATAATTCTCCGCTATTCGTTTAAATCACGGGATCAAATATTTGCCCTATACAGCAACAGTTACCAGTTTTGCAATTCTGAAAATAATCTATACATGCAACAAAAACTATAGCAAAACTGTTAGAATGTTACTATTTTTTTAAATACTAGCTGTCCTTTGAGGTTCCACCTCAATCCGAACGTAGCCCGATGTTCTATAGGTCAAAAATTTCCTATTTAAATAGACTTTAAAATGCAAAAACAATATTTTTTGTTAGATGTCTTCTATAAATCAGTTGAACACTTCGCTCAATTCGCAATAGTTTCCGCAGCATATAGGGTAACATTATCGAAGTTTACATACGGATTCCTAACTTTTTTTAAATATTCTATAGCCTATGTTCATCACAGATAACATAGTATTATAATGGTGAAATATTTTTTCAATTCAGTCCTGTAGTTTTGGAACTTATTCAATGCAAGCAATCAGTGTAGATTTTAATATTTCAAACTCACCTGTGGCCAAATCACATTCCGCAATAGCGTGTCTGAGTTGTGAAGCGTGGAACAATTCCCAACGGGGCTCTGAAACCGCTGTCACACTCACCGGTAGCGCGTCTAATGATGTACGAATCACACATGACTCCCAATCCTGGATATAATATTTTAGATATATAATATTTCATTAGAAGAAATCTATTTAACAACGTAAAACAGTCCACAAATATTATAGGACGGAAAGAACACGTAAACAAACAATTTTATCATAATATTACTTATTAGATATAATTGTTGGACAGACTTAAAAATCAAGGTAATGAAAATAATCTTTATTATATATAATTCTACTGTACGTCTGTACGTGAATGAACTCCTCTTAAACGGCCCGACCGATTTGAATTAATTTTTTGTAAGCGTTTGGGTGGTGCCCTGGATTCACAAAACAGCCCGGCAGATGGCGCTGCAGTGCGTATCTAGGTTATTTATCTATACAGCAAATAAACAGATGGTATATATATAAATTTCCATGCATGTGTTCGTAATTAAACTCCTTAACGGCTGGACAGATTTTAATGTAAGACGTGTATATTTGTTATTGTGTATATATTCACACAATTTAAGGTAAAGTTTCCTTACTCTTATAAAATACCCGCATTTTGTCAAATATACATTTTCGTTTTTTTTTTGTTGTAATGATTGTATTTTTTTAACTTCAAAGAGTTTAAAAAAAACACTGGTGTCGCCCTTGAGGTATAAATAATACCTGCAGCTGAGTTTCATCATCTCAATCTCAATTCTTGAAAGGCCGGCAACGCACTTGCGAGCCTTCTCGCAATGTGAGTGTCTATGAGCGGCGGTATCACTTAAAATCAGGTGAGCCTCCTGCCCGTTTACATGATATTATATAAAAAAATCAACGAATCAAACCTGTCGCAACGGCATCGGCAATTGTCTGGACTCCTCCTTGTGTTGTGCGTGCATTAGGGCATTAAGCAGCGCCGATAACGCGGCGTGCTGTCTTGCACAACCGGCCGAGCCCGCTTCACACGCGCACGCACGTAGCACCCACGAACGGGACGACAGCGTCGCCATGGATGCAGTCTGTAAAGACAAAAGTAAAAAAATCTTGTATTAAATTGTGGTATAATTTATTTATGTATATCATATGCAATGGACACATTTCACACACTATCTGTACGAGCCAAGGCAAGTACATTTAAAGCACCCCGAAAATCCAGGAACGTCGGAAAGTCGGACGTACACATCAGTACGGAATGTCGTACGTATGTACGTATTCAACGAGCATGCGATAGCAATATGTAAGATACATCTTAATATAAATTACTCACCTCGAGATTAACAGTAGCCTTAACATGTCGCGCTAGGAAGTAATCCCTCGCTCGCAGTAGTCGTAATGCCGGTGGCGAAGTGGCCGGGCGTTCTACTATCCGATAAAGAAGACGGTAACAGCTTTCTATCAAAGTTGTTGCTTCTCTGTAAATAGAATGGTGATTCTTTGCTTATCATTTAGATACCAAATAGTATTGGTTGATAGATAATGCTCCGAAGGATCTGTTTTTTTTTGTATCATTATCTTAATTAAATAAATTTCAAATAAAACAAATCGCTCCTCAATATTGTATTTTTTATTAAAAATAATGTAATTTTATGAGTTTTGTGTGGAGGTGTTTAGAGTTTTAATTTTGTTTTAGGCATATGAGTATCTATGAATATCTAAACATAATGACGTGCTTGTAAATGATAGTCTTTTGGCATAGTGCCTTCTTAGAGACATCAACTAGAATTAATTTTGACAATTAAAAGGTAAAATTAATGTATTTAATATTGAAAAGTGAGGCACTCGCATAGGCTAAGGACAAAACTAGAACTTACCTATCACTACTTCCATTTTTGTTAATATAGGCGTCCAATATATCGAGGATGGAATGGAAACAGGTCCTTGGAGAACCAGCCACACCCGCCTCGTGAAGGGCACTTCTGGATACCTGCGAATATATTTAACAGAAAATATTTTAAACTGATTTTTAGGGGTTTTTACTGTTCTACCCACTTTTACTCATGTTAACACAAAAGCTAAGTCGGTTTTAATAAAATAGTAAAAAAATATAAACATTTAAAAAAAATCACATATGTGCGTTTACTATTCTCAACAGAAAAAAACAATATATTAAATAAAGAATAAGCTGAAATTACATCATCATTAAGCTGGTATCCGAGTAAGAAGTGTGCGAAGTTGTGTGGAGCCGCGGGCAGCAGCTGCATCAACAGAACGATAATGCCTTCCTTAGCAGCACGGATGTCTGCCGCTGCTTCGTCACCGCCGCACCACTCTTCCGCTTCCAGGCATTCCACAAAACCGTGCCTGATTTTATATAATTATTAAAAATATACCAGTCAAATTGGCATTAATTCATAGGGTACAGTTATAAATAAATAAAGAAAATCAAAGTGCAAACGCAATTTGGCGAAAAGAGTGCTTTAGATAAAACTATACAATTAGCCTGATTTAGTTTCTATGACATGATTTAATTTGCCGGCCCTTTAATTAAGAGATGATTAGCCATTGATTTTTTTTTTTGGTTGATTGATAAAGTTTGTTAATAAATATTTCAATTAAGTCCGGGTTTCATATTCCAAAAACCAAATCTAAATTGCTATCAATATAAATCTCACATTTCCCCCTAGAATATTGAATTACAAATCAAAACATTCTAAACTTACCGAACTTCCGGCGCCCTTTGATGCGCAAGCGCAACGCACTCTAATAAATGTTTTGCACAGTGCGGGGAATGTAAGGCGCGACACAGAAGCGCCACAGCGCGAGCTGCAGCTGCCGGCACCACGCACCCGTGTTGGAGTACGAGGCAACATGTGACGAGGCGATCGTTCTTGTCTGGGCCGGATGGGGCTTTAAAATTATAAAATATTTATTAATTTAATTATTAAAAAAAATTACTTTCCCCTTAGGGTTACTTTTTCTCCTGAGCCTTTCTGCCGGGGAGATTTCGCTTATAATAAGACCTAATTTTATGTTTAATCTTTTTTTTTATAGGACAGGAGGCAATACCTCCACCCATGGACACTCTCAATGTAAGAGAGTTCGCGAGTGCGTTGCCGGTATATATATTAATCTTAATGCAACAAGAGTTAGTAAAAAAATTACTGTAAACAGTAACACATACTATTATTTATTATTATTACTTTACTACTTTGTACTAACTTTTTTAGGATGCTTTGTTGTCTAATATAGGATCAGCAATTAGCTTTAAGCATCTAATTAACCTAACCTAACAGCTATTGATTACAAAAAAAACGGGTGTGCTCTTATGTACACGCGTTAGAACTTCTTTGGCGTAACAGGATAAAAATATTTTCAAAAATTTTATCTTTCGCCTTATTCTACATTTCTAGAAAAAACGACACAAACAATAGAAAAAAAATTATCTCTCATCGTTTTTCCCTAACGCGCCAAAACAAGTATAACTTCAAAAAAACTAAAATGTTGACTATAGCTAACTTCAGGGTGTCGGTTTTTTGTGACGGTGTGCGCGCGCATCGTAAAAATTTACTCCATTTAATATTCCATTTTTAATATGGAAAATACATGGAAACAAATAGAAAACTATTTTACGTTTTACAATGCCAAAATGGCGTTTCTGTAAATATGGTGATAATTCTTACTAAAGTAAAACATATACGTATATAAAATCAAAAAGAACTGCACGGATTCATGCGGCTTTCGATAATAAATAGTGTTGTGTTTTTGTATATAAGCAGCAATTTACAATTTTAGAACATATTTTATGATATCTCCTGTATCTTTTAGCGTAAATTGCGCTTTTCCCACCAATAAACCGATATGACAAAATTTCATAATCTGACCTATATCCATGCATAAACCGCTTTTTTGCTAAGCGAATCAAAATAAGCCTTACCTAAAATGAGTTTAGACAACCCAACAAGCATTACAGCACGGTTCGCTTCCGTAGCGGCAGCGGTCAAAGCCCGTTCCAACGATAGCGCTCGCTCTAGTATGTGCAAAGTACTGACTAGCGTTTCTTGTACATATATCTGAAAAAAATATATTCAAACTTTAATAAATATAAACATTGTCTTTGGTTTTACGAGTATTAAAATAAAATCAGTCAAAATCTGTTATAACGACATCGAAGGGACTACTCATATTTGGTCGTAAAAACCGATAGTCGTAACAGCCGATGACGTTATTAAGAACCTAATACAATTGAATTCAGCCGGGACCTTTGATTTTGGTCAATATAACCGGTATGTTCTAAACGATATCGTCGTAAATGGTTTTAATGTATATAAGTGGCGCTACAATCTTTTTAGTTCTAGGCCTCAGATTTATGTATTTGTTTCATGATCATTTGTCATTCTAATAGGCAAGTAGGTGATCAACCTCCTGTGCCTGATACAGACCGTCGACTTTTTGGGTCTAAGGCAAGCCTTTCCTCACGATGTTTTCCTTCACCGTTATTATATGAGCGAATTTTAAATGCGCACATCGAACCTACAACCTCAGGGATGAGAGTCGCACTCTGAAGCCACTAGGCCAACGCTGCTTTTAGTAGTGCATTACACATTGAAATAATCGATATAGACGCGATCGGCGATATTAATATTATGTACATAACTCATTCAGGAAGAGAGGTTAAAATAGCGCTCCCTCACCTGTTCTGTTAAAGGTTGCTTATCCATCAGGTCGTAAGCTTCGTCCAGAGTGTTTAGCACCATTCGCAGTAGTTCAGAGTTTGTATGCAGGAACATTAATAGTCTGAACCCTGGTGGAGGATTGGAGTCTGGTTCGCAATGTGGAGGGGGGAAGTCCGCCGCACTGGGCTCGTATGTATCCAGCCAGCGAACGAATAGACGGAAACATAGTGATATCATCTGAAACGCATATAATTTCACATTTATGAATTCCTCGTGAATTGAAGTTTCTTAAAAAATATTGTTCTTTTCTTAGTAATGTATTATGTCTAAATGAATCAGTATATTAAATAATAATAATAAAATCCTTTTATTTCAACTACTTTTACACATATATTTTTTTATCATCGCATTCTTTTTAGATTTGTTTGCCAAAGGCCAAATATAAAATAATGTGGCCATTCACGTATTACGTAAGCACTATAAATTTTTTTATTTGATGATTACGTCAACAATAATTATTTACTTTATTACACATATTACCTGCACATTGTCTATGCTTGAAAACGAAATGCATTTTCGAGGATTCTAAAAAAAAAATAATACGTTTATGTACTATTCTTTTTAAGAGCTTTGCTTACTTTTGCTGACAAGAGGAAGAGGGGGATACATTGCAGTAAATCTGCTTACGTAATACAGGGAGTTTATTATCATCAAACTAATTCAAAACATTGTATTTATTTACATGAGAAATACAGACTTATAAAAATTCCATATTAAAACGTCTATAAGTACTTCGAAATTAAAATAACAGTCCCGACATTTGTTACCCGATCAATCTAATAAATAATAAGATTTACAACCACGTGCACGTACCTGCCATTTATCCTGAGGGTCTGTATAGGGCCTGTGCGGTGCGGGCAAAGCGAGCTTATTCACAACGTGGTCTACATAAGGATCCAACCCTGGGCGTCTTGCCCCCGCCCCAAGCGCTCGGGGTAAAGGACCAGCCAGACACAACGAGTCAAGAAGGGATAAGAAGGCCCGCGATAGTGGATACTGTTCCATACGACACTCGACCTGAAATTTTTCATAAAAAAATTGTAAAGATATATATGGGCCCGTTTTACAAAACGTGTCGCTGATGTGAAGTGTGTCTTGAATACAAATTTAAACTTCGTTTGATTTGGATTTACGTTTTAATAAGAACCCTACTCTAGATTCTTTTAAAATAAAAACAATTACATTCAAACAGTTTCAGACATTATGACGTAATCAGAAAAGCAAGAAGGAAGACTAAGTCTTATGTGTAAAAACTAATTTAAGACGAGGTTCAAAAAGGTTTACAGAGTATTTAAGTACGTGAGATTATGTAAAAAAAATCAGTGGCGCTACAACCTTTGGTCTGGGCCTCAGAGTTCTATATATGTTTCATGATCATTTTTAAATCTAATATGCAAGAAGGTGTTCAGCCCCCAGTGCCAGACACACGCCGTCAACTTTTTGGGTCTAAGACATGTCGGTTTCCTCACGATGTTTTCCTTCGCCGTTCGAGCGAATGTTAAATGCGCACATAGAAATAAAGTCTGTTGGTGCACAGCCGGGGATCGAACCTACGAACTCAGCTAGGCTGAAGCCACTAGGCCAACACTGCTCATGAGATTATATAAAGTTTTACCAAGTACATAAAAAATCGATACAATTTAAAATCAAAGCCGAGAGGTTACCTCTAGCAAGTCAGCAGTCAGCGCCCTCTTGTCATTAGCAACGGAAACTAGCTGAGCGGCTTCAAGTGCGGCCCAAACGCGTGGAGCTGTTGAACCCCACCTTCCCAACTCTGCTAACGTCGTACAAAGCGCTGACTTCAGTTGTATTGGTACGTGACAACATATCAGACCTAATCAAAACATCATATTATTGTAAGTTAATTGCGATGAATACCTTTCATACGTATACGTAAAACGTATACCTATACGTAAATGCGTATATATATGCAATTCTAGGCCCCTATCACTCATATAAATCATATAATCACATTATATGATTTTCTATTTTCGAATTTTCTTTTTAATATAGTACTACTTATACCAAAAGCGCTACAACCTTTTAGGCCTAGGCCTCAGATCTGTACCTGATCATTTTTAATAGGCAAGTATGTGTTCCTAACACATACCGTCGACTTTTTAGGTATAAGGTATGCCGGTTTCCTTACGAAGTTTCCTTTATCGTACGAGCGAGTGTTAAATGCGCACATCGGAACATCTATTGGTGCATAGCAGGGCATCGAACCTACGACCCCCGGTATGCGAGTCGCTGAAGCCACTAGGCCAACACTGCTTATATTATTTACTAATATTTCATCCATGGATGTTTTTTTTTTCATCAACATGTAGTCTGTAGAAACATTTATTCAGGGATTTCAGAATATCAAAAATTACTCAAAATGAGACTATAGCATTATTTTTGATACAATCTTTTTATATATATAATTCTTCTGTGAGTGTGTATGTCACTGAACTTCTCTCAAACGACTGGACCGATTTTGATGAAATTTTTTGTGTGTGTTCAAGGGGATCTGGGAATGGTTTAGATTCACAAATCAGCCCGGCAGATGGCACTGCAGTCGGTACTTTCATACTTTGCTTAATATCCTAATCGCTTTAAATATCATGCAGGACAACGTCTGTGGGGTCCACTAGTAATTCATAAAGTTCTTACCAAACATGCAATTGACGGCATTCCATTGCATATTCTCGCATATGGCGATGCAGGCGGCTTCATCCACTTTTGCTACAGCAGCTATTAGTTTCAACGCACCAATCATAGCTTCCACCTAGAATTGTATAACTATTTACATGTATTGGTGTGAATAAAAAAAATATTAGCGAAAACGTTTTGGTAAATTAAACATTTTGGTAAATTAAATTAAACATTTTGGTAAATTAAATTAAACATTTTGGTAAATTAAACATTTTGGTAAATTAAATTAAACATTTTGGTAAATTAAATTAAACGTTTTGATATTTATTTATTTAGTAATAAGTTTACAGAAATACATAACAATTAAAATACTTAAATAAAAAGAAGGACAACTGGCGGCCTCATCGCTTTCGAGCGATCTCTTCCGGGCAACCACTGATATTTAATTAAATTGGATCAGGGCTCACCTTAAGCAAGAAGTGCAAAACTACATATAGTTACTTAAACAAAGCAAAGCAATTAAAACGTGACTAAAAAAGGATATTTAAAAAAGAAAAAGTGCACATGAATCACGATAATTTCAGATCTGATCATACTGTATGACAAAATTCACACGATGTCGTTATTCAAGAACGTCTTATTCCTATAATTTTAGTGACATTTCTGTAGTCGAAGCGCAACGGACAACAATTATTATAAAAAAATCATAAATTGTAACAACGTTTTAGTGGTGCACTTATGTTGACTGCTCTGATTTGATCACTTTCCCATATGTGGTCTTATTTAGGGTAATTTATTTAATAACTAAGTGCTGTTTTGGAAATCTGATGTCGAGCATGATTTGATGATTGATTTGATTTGATTCATTGATGTGACTCTGATGTGGTTACAGCTCCTTAAAATCATCTTAAACATTTGTCGACGTGGTAAGCACCAGCTGATCAACATTGTTGATGAGTGGAAAAAATGGCTTAAGAATGGTTAAGTTTATTGCTTGTTCATACCACGCCCTTGATTTGAGAACTGGCAGTTCATATAAATGGAGAGTGCTATATATTTGTTTTTATTTAAGTACTTGGACTTGTCAATCTTGCTTTGTAAAATATAACTCTTACCTCCTCTTGCCGAACCAGCAACCGTCCACTCCTTGCACCTGGCGTGATAATAGCCGAAGCACCTAAAGACGACGCGTGCGCATGTTCTGCGAACGGAGTTGGATCTTGCCGCAGGTTTCTGCAGATATATAGAAACTTAATAGATGCATAGCAAATATGTTTTTTTTTTTAAATTGGAACAAATAAGATTAGGATACCGCTAGCAGTGTTGGCCTAGTGGCTTAAGCGTGTGACTCTCATCCCTGAGGTCGCAGCTTCGATCCCCGGCTGTACACCAATGGACTTTCTTTGTAAGTGCGCATTTAACATTCGCTCGAAGGGTGAAGGAAAATATCGTGAGGAAACCGACATGTCTTAGACCCAAAAAGTTGACGGCGTGTGACAGGCACAGGAGGCTGATCACCTGCTTGCCAATTAGATTGAAAAATGATCATGAAACAGATTCATAAATCTGAGACCTTAAAAGGTTATATCTTAACTGATTTATTTATTTTATTTTTTATACGTACTACATATCTTAAACATTACAAATAGACCTTACACACCCTGGATCTACTCAATAAGTTCATACATTTTACTCAAAAGAATCAACTCAACATTTTACAAAATCAACATTTTACTCATGCATTTGCGTATACGTAATACTAATAATACGTAAAACTTTAAAAAAGTCAGTGGTCTTATTGCAAATTTACTTTTAGCCGTGTTAATTACCTGTGATACAAAGCCAGTGCAGTCAACAAATGATGGGCCGACAGCGCATCTCTGCGAGCCAATAACGCCCAAGTGTGCTTCTCAACTGTGATAGCGGCCAATGCCCGAAGATAAGCCGGCAACAACGCCGCAACCATCACTTCGCCGGATAGACGCACGAATTTGTATAGGGTGGCTGCACGGCCGCCGGCCCTTTACATAATAGAGACAGTTTGTATAGGACGTAAAATCTTCACAAAAATATATTCCTATACATAAAGAAATATAATTCCACGCGTGTACATTTACATAATATTTATAAGTAATAAAAAAGTGCGTAAAAAACAAAGTGCACATGTCAGAAGTGAAACTTCTTTGGCTGGCAAACTAATTTTTAAGTCTTGTTCAATATTTATACAAATGTAAAACTTTAGATATCCGTGAATTAGAGGGAGGGAAAAAGAAAGGTATGTTAGGAATTTAATGAATTTAATTGTCATTAAAATATTAAAAGTGCCGAAAATTTATACAAATTATAAATTTAACTTTCTTAATCTTGTTCTTCGATAATAAAAACACGTGGAATTATAATTCACAATTTGTTATTTGAGATTTCAATAAATTATTATGCATAAAATATAAAACACTAATATTTCATAAATTCTCTTTACGATATTTAGAATTTTAAATATAGAATTTCTATAAGGTAATTCGCCTTTCTCACACTCTGTCAATCGGTCTCAATAGCTCTCTCCCTTTTCTTCGACAAAAACGCTGCACATCTTCGTGACGCTATTATTATTATAATTGCGTTACATCCGTAAAAATATACCCTCATGCACCTAAAGAAGTTTCACTTCAAAAAAAATATAAATTTTAATCTGTAAAAAACAATAGATCAAAGTGCATACCTCTGCGAAGGTGCCGTCGCGTCACAAGCGAGCCAATAATCATTACGTAGGTTGTGGGGGTCTCGTGCGTACAAACGTTCCACGCAACGCAACAATGCGTCGAGACGTGTACGCTGGGAGGATCCCGGGGGCGGAGCTAGTCCTTCCGCTGCGTACATTTGCGCGGCGCGAGCGGCTTCATCCGCCCTGTTAAAATTATGTATATATCAATTCCAAAAACCGAAGTAAAAGTCCATTGTTTTTAACTATATAAAATAGATCCTGGACCCAGTGGCGTATCAATAGGGTGGCAGAGCTGGCAAAATGCCACGGGCCCCGACCCAAGAGGGCCCCTGCCCTAGAGATAGTATGTTCTATGGATGAATGTGAAGTCTCCAATACGCATTGGGCTAGCGTGGGGACTACAGACCATTCCCTCTCGCCTAAGAGAGGACGCCTGTGGCCATTAGTGGGACATATACTAGTTATTGAGTACGCTGAAAATCTCGAAGTTTATTAAAATTAAACTGAGTACAACGTCACGATTTTTTCTGATAGGGCCCCAGATCATCTGCTACCGTTTTACAACACCCCTCATTCGTGGGTGGGACAAGTATAAAAGCAAAAATAGGCTCAGTTGCTGCGATGGTAGCCAGTCAAGGTCAAAAGTGGGTGCAATATTATTTATTAGTGTATTAAATAAGTGTTACTGAAATGTAAAATTAACATTATAAAACGGTAATTTAATTAATCCAATATTGTTTATTTTTATTTTTTATTCACACCTCGTTATACTTATACACAAACAAATAATATAATACATAAAATTATTAACAACGGGCGGCCTTATCGATAACAAGCGATCTCTTCCAAGCAACCCTAGCAAGAGAAATCTAAAAGAGAAAATGATGGGTAAAGTGCAAGAAGATTGGACAACTATGGTTTCTTTTTGCGTGAAGGTTTGACTGGTTAATTCAGCCAGCCTAACTGCTTCCGGCAACTAAGTCCACTGGGGCGGTCACAGGTGTGTTAGAGACCTCACTTCGTATAAGTATTCATGAAAGTATCCCTCAGGAACCGTCTAATAAAACTTACTTGACTCTCATTTCCATAAGTTTGGAGTGCATAAGTACAATGAAGTCTGTTATCAGCGAGTGAATCCTGCGCTGGTAGTATTCCTCATTCGCCACAAGATCTGATGACAGTATCATTTCATCTAGATATTCAAATACCTGAAACGCAAAATTAAAATTACTCAAAATGGCAATAATTTTAACATTGACCTAGTTCATAAAACCTAAAAATTGTTGCCCGCTAAGGTTAATCTTTATGGTAGAAACTAAACAATATTCCGTTAAAAAATTTAAGGGGCGTTCTACTATTATCTAACACCTTCAATCATTAGTATAATTGTAGTTGTTGTATGTAATGGTTTTTATATGTGAATGTTTTATTTTAAATATTAAAGTATTGCAGATCATCCACAAATAAAAAGTTTAGACAAGAATATATAAAATCAAAAGCACAAGTTAAAATACAAATAATAATAACAAAGTTTGAAATTTACAAAAAGTCAGTTCAACTGAAACTTATTTTACCATACCTCTCCATCAATAGCAGCATCGACAAGCATTTCATCCTGATCCAGGGCCTCACATCTTGATTCATTTCCCTTCCTCAGCAATGACACCGGAGCTCGCTTTAATGCACTAAGTGCCAGCCCTAACGCCAACTGGCACAGGGCACGCAAACCTGAGCCCTTTTGACCCTCTTGATGCGGCACAGGAGTTAACTCATCTAATAATACTGATATTAGGTCTGGATCCTGAATCAGGGGTAGTTTCTTTGACAATTCTTCGCCGTCCTCGCGCCTGCAAATTTTAGTATAGAACAATAGTCTCACCTCAGTTCATCATTAGGTTTTATGAAAAAAAAATAAACAGCGCTCCGATAAATGTAGAACGTACGTTATAAAAATAAATTGTGCGTATACTAGGTGTACACACGTAAGAAGTGAAACTTCTTTATGATCTTATTTTTCGAAAAATGATCTACTATATGCAGCTTTACAGAAATTCGTTAAATTAGATAAAGTTTAACAAAAGGCTTTTATTATCATAGACATGAATACAAATATTTCATTTTACCTTATTACTACGAAGATTATTATAGAATTTCATTAATTGTAATAGAATTATTACTATCATTGAAAAACGTGACGATTTGCTACAAAATTTCTCCCATACGTCGATAAAGAAGTTTCATTCCAACGCCGATAAAGAAGTTTGACTTCAAAAAGCAACATAGCGCGTAACCGAAAAATGTGACGCGTGACGAAAAAATGTTACACTAAATTTTTTTCCAACCTCGATAAAGAAGTTTCACTTCAAAAACTACAACCTTTTTGAGGTTTGAGGAGGTCAGATTTCTGTATCTGTTTCATGATGAGTTGTCTATCTAATAGGCAAGTAAGTGATCAACCTCCTGTGCCTGATACACGCCGTCGACTTTTTGCATCTAAGGCAAGCCTTTCCTCACGATGTTTTCCTTCACCGTTCGAGCGAAAGTTAAATACAATTACGACTAGCGGCCTGGCCCGGTTTTGTAGGGCTGGACCTTTTACGTATTTTGGTAATAAATATAGCTTATGTTACTCGTAGCAATCGATCTAGCAATTTTTGAGTTTATTTGTTACATGCATACAAAAAACCACAAATCTTTCCTCTTTAGCTATAACTTTTTGTCTTTAGTACTTGACGCAATCGTAAGGTTCGTACTAGGGCCCTGACTGATTGACAGCATTTTATTAGTTAATAGAACAGTATTTAAGACTAAAAACCAAAACATAGACAAAGTATAGAAAATATTGGGCCGCAAATATTTAATATTGACAATCCCGAGTCGAGAATAAGCGAAGTATGACTTCCGCATGTTTAATACAAATTTGACAAAAGAAAGCCTAGGATGCAGATTTACATAATAAGAAATTATAATTTAAAATATATATACCTATGCAAAACTGACAGATCCAGGGCATATAATAGAGCCATTTGAAGAGCCAATGATGTTTCATCCAAAGCACCAGTCGCACTTCGTGATGGCGATGACATTTCCTTAAAAGAAATATTTTATTATTCCTAACCTCAAGAAGATCGAAGATGAAAAGGAGACAGAATCATTTAATTTTTTTATAACAATATACATTCATTCTTTGGTAATTTTGTGAACATATATCTTTAAAACTGAAGACCACTCAACATAACACAAATTCCCTAAATATCTTTCTCCCAAACCGAGTAGTGGCCAACTGCAATAGGCTTCCGGAAATACGCGCATATAAACATAATAATAATCTAATAATAACAATAATAGTTTTGTCTTTGCTATCAATAATTATAAATAAATTGGGTTATAATATTGTTCAAAAGTAAGACCAAAGTTAAGTAAAACAGAAAAGACAATACAAAAAAGATAAGTTAATATTATTCAAAAAATATTGATAAAGCAAAAAAAAAACAAAGATAACCATGTTTGCACACCCCATACCCCATGTCTAGTGTAACATAGAGAAGCTTTTTATACAACCTTGGACCACTTCCACAGCGCATAGTACCCAAATATCTTATCCCAATACACATCTATGCAATCAAAGATACATAAATAATAAGAACTTACTTGTGATAGTAACATCAAGAGAACATCTCTTTCGAGGCCGCGTTGCGCTGACGCAGCAAAGATAACGCCTGCTAGTAATTTTCTGAAAATATTAATTTCATCTGCTTATATTGAATTCCACATATACTAACAATTCTGAAATCTACTGGAACGAAATTAAGGTGACTAGCAGCCCTTTCCAAGCAACTTTTTCCAGGCATTTTTAATTATTATATTATAATTATATGTATACTAATATTATACCTACTCTTTTGGCGCCATTAATTTATTAAGGCTGCTTAAAACATGCAACTGAATGAACATAGATAAAACCATGGGGTATAACTAGTAAACCAATGACTGAACTCACCTAGTTGTTTGCATACAGCCCAGCAACTTCATGTGATATCTGCTTGGTGGTAGAGCTCGATTACGTCTTAATAAGTCTAATTCATTGTCTAATGAATTACGATGTAATGCATCTAATACATTTGCTAGAAGACCATCTGATATTAACTGCTCCACATATCTTGATACATATTGTATTATTTCCTCCCTGGCATTTATTGACCTGAAAAATTAATTTCAAAATTCTTAATACTAAGTGAACTTTTAAGTTTTATCACTCATAAAATCATTAGAAATCATTGTTCAATTTACAAGAAGCTCAAATATACCATGATACTCCATCTCGGGCCATGACAAGTTCTTTTAGTGCCTGTACAAGGGCTCGTCGTCCATCATAATACAGCATCACAGCTAGAAGACCTCTAGCTAAGCCAGGTTGACGAGGACTCTGACGCTGAGCAGAATGTAAAAGCTCTAAGCAAGCGTATTCATTGGCATTGTACATATCTGCAAGAAATTGATTTAATAAATAATATCATTTATATCAAGCTATAGAGTTTATATATATTTTTGCTTGAGTATTACCAGAAACAATGAGTTCAAATTGTAAAGGATAGTTTATTGAGGAAGGCTAAAGGCTATATAACATCATGCCCCAACTGCGTGATTTCAGGTTTTAAGATAGAAGTTTTTAAGATAGACAACAAGAGAATTTATTTTATTAGATGTTGAAATGTCACATAAAGTTTTCAAGTCTGGTTGTTTAGTTGGGCCAATGGGGTCTGGGCATAAGCAGTTATCAACTCCCTCCCATCCCGCACTAGATGCTTTGTCAAATGTGGTAATTGTAGTAAATATACCTGATATTATAATAGCTTCATCTACAAGGTCTTTAGATAATAAGGTTCTTCCAACACTAGGCAAATTAACACCTTCTGTAATCCCTCTTTTTATTTCATCTCTGCTTGCTGGATTCTTAGCCTAGTAAAAAATTAATGATTAAAGATTATAAATAACAAAAAAATTATGAATACAGACAAAATCTGTTCTAACAACATCGAAGGGGACTACTCATATTTGGTCGTACAAACCGATAGTTGTAAAAGCGAATGACGTTATTAGGTACCGAATACAATAGAATTCAGCCAGGACCTTTGAATTCGGTGAATATAACCGGTATGTTGTTCTAAACTATGCCATTGTAAATGGTTTTGACTGTATATACTCTATTACAATAATTATATATTCTGTTTAAGTATAAAAAATACTGTTAATTATTAATTTGACAATAATGTTTCAAATTATCTTATTAATAATAAGATAAGCAAATATTTCCTCAACTTACAGGGTTTTTCAATAATGATAAGAATGTCTGTTTATGCCGCCTAAGAACTGATTCAAATGTATGTACGGCATAGGGACTGCTACCACTTTCATTTGTAAGGTAGCATTCTACCACAGCAACCAATTCCTTAAATGGAGTCCACAAATCTTCTGTTGTTGTGCCTACAAATTAGTTTGAAAATTAAATTACAATAAATATGTAAAATATGAGAAAATTATAGGATACCATTAATACTTAATAAAATTATTGAGTATCCCAGTTTAAAAATTGTAGGTTGGTTTCAAAACTCTTTAAAAGTCATTTATTTAGCTGCACGAGTCCGATATTCCGATTTCGAATAGGTTTAAATATACAATACGGATTTAATGATAACAATAAGAATAAGACAGTTGTTTTGTTTAGCCGCTACAAATTAATAGGTTATGTTACAATATATAACAGTTACCTTCGTTTAGGTCCATAATTAACGGTTGTTAACACGCTTTTTACTACTTAACTTATAGATAATACATATTAAAAAGAACGAATAGATTTGAATATTTGTAATATACTTTTTTAATAATACATTAATGTTCTAAACTTGAGAAACCACTAAACTTGAGTAAGTACTAAGTAGTAGCTACTAGCTTGTCGGCTGTCGCTACTATTGGCTATTGCCTTTGACGTTTGAAACTAAACACGGTTTGAAAAATATTTCAAAACTAGCGTTATGTGTTTAGTATTTACAGTGAGTGGGACAAAGAGAATAGGAGCAGATGAATCATTGACAGTGACATATCGTGAACTTGTGATATCTGTGGTTAGTTAATTTTTATTAAAATTACAGAGTATATATCTATGTAGGGTGATACTTAGTTTATTTTGGAAAAAGAACGTATATCTAGCAATTATTTTTCTAAATTAATTTAATTAAGTAATGATATAGGTCAAAACTTATATTTCTTGTCCTTATCGCCGAATTCGGTTAGAAATATTTTCCAAAACCTAGACGTGACTGTCGCGACGAAACACTTCTTGATTCAAATTATCAAAAAAGGGGCCTCATAGCCTAGCGGTCGTATTAAGTGGCAGCTAGGTGAGGGGTACCGGGTTCGATTCCCGGTTCGAGGGCAAGTTTTAATTTAACTTTGTTCTCGGCCTTTGGGAGGGTTGTGCGGTACCGGGCGAGTTCTTAAACCGTACATGGAGGACACGGTCGAATTTCTAAAGACAAAGCACGAATTATAAAAAATTCTATACTTGACGCTGGCTAAAGTCGGAAACACACTTACCACCCAAAATATTTTAATATGATTAAGGCGGAAACACACTTACGTGTCGTGGCGTGTCGTGACGCGCCAGAAGCATATTAGTTTCATACATTTAATATGATTAGAAACATATTTGCATGTCGTGTCGTGTCGCAACACGTTCTGTCGTGGCGCCGACTGCTCGACACCGATTGCGCCAGAGCGGTGGTGGGGGTTATGACGCGACACGACACAACAGGCAAATGTGTTTCTATACCGGCGCGTGGCTCATGGCGCGAATAAAATCAAAATATAATTTATGCGATACGTAACTTAATATACACTTATGAACGTCAGTAAAAAATTAACGCTTCAAGATTTACATTTCCTGCCACTTCTTAAATCATAGGAGCCAACGGCCTGGCTAAACCGTAAAAGATCGAAATGGGATAATTAAACCAAAATTGTGGAAAATCTAGCAATTATTGATAGTAGTCAAAGTAAAAATTCAAAATGGCCGACAACTTGGGGGCCGAGCAACCACGACATAAGTTATTTTCTGGGAGCGAACATCGCTTAAATATACGATAGAAATAAAACTTTTCATACGTATTGACATTATCCTTTTCCCATAATTTGTAGGTAATGTGGCCCCTATTCTACCTACACCAGCTCGCGGGCTGTGGGCAGCCCAGCACACCGCGTGCCAGCAAGTTTTATTATTAAGTTTGTAAAGGCATTGTGCCTTGCGATGTCACCCGCGTCAACTTGCCTTGGAAATCTCGACAATGCGCTAATGGTTCTGGATCATTAATTGGTAGCAGAGTTAGTTTACCAAATACTACAGCTATATAATAATATATCAAATAAAATAATCATTTTTTTCAAAGTGACACCGATGGTCAACTCACAATAATTCACATACACATATCAATTTTCCGATAATTTTCGTAATTTACCTGTTGTTTCAAGAGCGGTTTTAATACGATCGCGATCGCATACAAGTAGTGGCACGAAACTCTAGCGCTGACCGTTATTGCGCAGAAGTAAAAAATAAGGTACCTGAGGGGGGCTAGCGGGCGCGCGTAGAGTCGATACTCGATTGGCTCTCCAGTCGCATTCCGTCCCCCGCGCGACAGTACACACACGCATGACGCAGCAATCTCCTCCACGTATCGGCCGGCGCTAGACTTACGTGCCGCTGCCTATAATATGCTAAGAATTATTTGTTAAGATATATATCAAATTTTATCAACTCTGATCTGTAATGGAGCTAGAACGTTTCCTAAAATCTAAATCCTACTATATGTAGCATATTCTGTATTATACTCTTTGTAGTTACACACTCTATGGCATTATTTAAACTTTCATACTACAACATTGAAATATAAATATTTATCATTGCAAAATATTTCTTGAAAAAGCTTATTATTTAACTTATTTCGTATCTCTGTTCTCATATATCTGTATAATAAATATTTGTGTTTCTACTCTTTCTAGTCAAATGTAGATGTTCTAATATATGCTACTCTCAACATTTTTACCAAGCTCCATTGGATTTAACCAAAGATGTTTAATAAGGCTGGAAAACCTTTTTATCGACATAAATTTACTGATTCCGAAGATTTCGATGAGGAACTACATGATTTGTTTAACAAAAAGTATCAATTTAGTTTCAATGGCGAATGGAAATTACCTGAGCAAGAATCTTGGTTTTCTGCTCCTTCATGGAAAGTGGCTGGTCTAGAAACTTTAAAGTCTCGTTTAAACTTTCATAAAAGTCAGTTGAACGATTTTAGTATCGAAGAGTGGAGTAGTCACACACGTCGACGTAACCCGGCCGGCGAAGTTAGTTGGAAAGTAAGATGTTTGGTAAACCCTGAGTTCTTGACGCAAGCTTGGACAAAGTTCTATGAGTGTGCATGTACATACAGCATAATACCACTAGAAGCTACAGAAGAGAAGAAAATGGTCTCTCTGCATTTGTGTGAAGCTCCTGGTGCCTTTATTACATCATTGAACCATTTTCTCAAACAACACAATAACAACATACAAGTAATATATTTTATTATTACAAATTGTTTGTGTTCTGGGAATTAATTATTTTATAACTATATTATTATTATTAAAATAAATGTTTCAGTGGAAATGGCTGGCAAGCACCCTTAATCCATATTATGAAGGGAATTCTACATCAAACATGATAAGTGATGACAGATTCATGTTTCACACCCTTGAAAATTGGGATTTTGGAGTTAACAGCACAGGAAATATTATGAACTGGGAGAACTCTCAAGCAATTGTCAAAAGAGCAAAAAGTCTTGGAAAGGTAATACTAAAATCGAGAAACTTTGTAAAATTAACTTATTTAGGAATATTTTTAGAAACTGTCTTATGTTAGAGTTTTTTCACCTTGGCTTTATAGGTTCTTCTGGTCACTGCAGATGGTTCAATAGACTGCATGCAGAAACCTGATGCCCAGGAAGAAGTTACTTCACCTCTACATTATTGTGAAATTGTTACAGCTTTACAAAGCCTTAGTAAAGGTATTATAAAACAGTTGTTATAATGAAAACATTTGATTAAAAGGTATCTTTGTTTTTAACCTATTATTTTATTAATTACAGGTGGTACATTAATATTCAAGCTATTTACAATATTTGAACATTCTACTGTCTGTTTGTTATATCTTCTGAATCATTTATTCCAAGACGTCAACATTTATAAACCAATCACATCACGGCAAGGTAATTCAGAAGTCTATGCTATTTGTCTAAGGTACAAGGATAATATTTTACTAGATGAGTTCTTGCCAAGGCTAAAATCAACATATGGGACAGAACTTTACAGTAATTTAGCATTGTTCCCTTTAGATATGATTCCAGACAGTTTTATAAAGCAAATAGAAGAGTGTGCTTACTATTTTTGCTCACTTCAATGTCATGTTATTAACAACAATCTTCAAGCTTATCTAATGCAGAACAATATTGCATTGCATCGAGATATCAAAAAAATTAGAGCACTGGTTGCTGCTGAATTTATTTGGAAGTATGATTTGAAACCTATACATATAAACCAGGAAATTTTACATGGAATACTTCATGAAGAAAACAAAACAAATAATAATCCTAGGTACTGTAGAGGTTCGTATACAGAGCGACAGTTATTCACAAAAATGTCCCTAAAAGAAAAGGTACAGAGTTTATATAGTTCCTTGCAAGCAGAACTATTTTCAAATCCCATAGTGCCCATTAATGAATCTGTGAGGTGGATGGTTGGAGTAAAAACTGAACTAAAACTAAAATTCACTTATGGGCTACCATTAGAAAGAATTTACAGTTCCAAATTTATATTGACCCCACTATTCAAGCTCTATCAACAAATACTTTTTGATGATGATTTCAAGGGAATTGTTAATAGAAATAAAGATAATGCAAAGGATGTCCCTGAATTAAGTTTTGATTTTTCAAAGAAGTTATGTTTACCATGCAACCATGAAGTAAAATATTTTCTCCATGAAAAAAAATGCTTTAAGTTGTTGATTGAAACTCTGAATAACATGCCAGAAGGTGGAAGTCTTTTGCTGCACAATTATAACACATTAACACATTTTAATGTTAGTGTCTTATACATTTTATCAAACATTTGTTTTAGAAAAACTGGATTACTGTCTTGTGGTGTCATAATTCTGCAGAGCCTAAACAAAGTTTCATTAGAACTTTTAAACCTTATTGATGTTGAATGTGAGCAGGTAAAAAATGAACAAAACAAAGATGTATTAAATTCATTGCCTGTTCAAATAACGAATGTTGGCATTTTTTATGATAATGTTATATTTTATAACAACACATTCTACAGAAATACATGCACAGACATTCTTAAAACAATTGAACAATCACTCTAATTTATAAATAAATCTTACAAAATAATTCACACCAAACAAAATATTGCCATTGTACATGTTATAACCTGTGTGTATGTATTTTAATGCTTTAACTTTACAAATAAAACCATTACTATTTGAATGTTTTATTCCCTTGGTGTTATCTCTGTGACTAGTACATAATGTTTGTCAAATATTATATTACAAAAAATGTATACAAACATTTTTTTTTTATAAATCGCTCCCCTGAAAGGCAACATGTATATTCAGACTGTCTAAAATTGGTGACTGGTTTTTGGGCGTTACCGGACATTTTATTGATCGTAACATGGTCTTGCGATCGATTCTTTTAGAATGTTGTGCGTTAAGTGGAACGTCGCACAGGGCTTCCGATTTAGCTGAAGAGTTATCGCGCATCGTTCAGGAATGGGGTCTAGAACGTAAAATTATTCTAGCAGTGTCAGACAATGGGTCCAATATTAAATGTGCTATAGAGAAATGTTTGGGTTGGAAACATTTCAATTGCTATGCGCATTGCATTAATTTAGTAGTTACTAAGGCTTTAGAAAATAATAGTACGATCTCTAATATCATACAAAATGCAAAAAACGTTGTCTCACATTTAAAAAAAAGTACGGTTGCGTGGGAAAAATTAAAACGCTACTTAGAACAAGCTGGTAAACCGATAATGAGGCCTCTTCAAGATGTTCCTACCAGGTGGAACTCTACATACTATATGTTAGAGCGCTTATTACTATTGAAAGGGGAACTTAATAGCGCAATTTCAAATTTGAACACAAATATTCCAGTATTGTCAGCGAACTATTGGTCTATCATAGAAAAGCTGGTCCTAGTTTTAAAGCCCTCTGAGGAAGTGACAAAAGAGATAAGCGGCGATAGATATGTGACTGGCAGTTCGGTTATCCCCATAACTATAGCTTTAAAATCGGCGTTAGTTACTATACTAGATTCTTCCGAGCCTTTACCAGATGACGTAGAAATGGTGAGGCAGGATATTCTAAATGGACTACAAACCCGTTTTTCTTCGCTACAATATAGCCGCACTTTTACGTCGTGCATGTTTCTAGACCCTCGGTACAAACTCTATTTCGAAAACGAAAGTACAGCAGAATCAACAAAAAAACATGTAATTGGATTAATAACATCATTAATTTTAGAGGAAGCAACAGAACCAGAACAGAATATTTCAGAATCATCTTCTGTATCCGGATCGGAAAACACCATTTGGGCCCACTATTACAAAAAAATGCAAAATATTAGGCCCAGTGGTACCGCATTTTCTAGAGCTGTGGTTGAAGTGCAACGATACAGTAATACCAAAATCTCATTCGCCTTTAGAATGGTGGAAGGCTAACAAGAACTCATACCCACATTTGGCAATACTTGCACGGAACAGATTAAATTCTCTGGCAACGAGTGTGCCCTGTGAAAGATTATTTTCTGCCGCAGGAAATATTTTAAGTGACCGTAGGACTCGTCTTGGAGTAAGGAAAATTAAACAATTACTTTTCTTACAACAGAATTTAAAAAATAAAGCTTAACTAGAAGAAATATTGTACAAAGTTGTAAATACTGTATATATACCTCCATTTATTATGTAATTGTGTTTAAGAGTAATTATAATTTAAGAACATTATACGATTAATTATATGATTTAATAGTAGGTGTTTTATAAGTAAGTAAACTAAGTATTATTAAATTTTTAAATATTTGTTTTTAAAGTCAGTCCTAAGCCTGCAAAACTATGAAAGTAAGTTTTCAATGAGAGCATTTAATTTTATTTAAACGATAACAATTATATTTAGCTTTTCATTTCGGTTAAAAGACATCTTATCATTTGCCAAAAATTCTACCATCGAAAAAATTTACTGTTTATAAAGTACATAGTATCATATGTGTTTATTAGCAGTATATAAGTATGTGTAATACATGTGTAGTTTAATTATACAATTTCTTAAAATATATTCAATTTAAATTTTTAAAATACTCTTTCTCGTTTTTACCATAATTTGAAAGATTACCTAAATGTCGAGTCAACTTATTACAATATGGTAATGCAGTAGTATGACAACTCTGATCTGACTTATGTAAGTAATTTTAATATAGCGTATTCTTAATTTTAGATATAATAATTAATATAAAGAATAAACGTTTACGTTAAAGCTAAATGCCATTATTTATCATTCCCCTAAAAAATCTGCCAATTCTGAACACATTAAAAATACCCATACTGCATTTTTTAATCTATGCATTGCTTTAAAAAAGGTCTTTATTTATATTAATTTCACTATTAAATGCTCAGTGAATGTTCTGTGCTCTGTGGAACAATAGCATATTCAAAGAGTACTTAACTAATTCCTATATTTTGGTGACACAGTCCCATATTACTAAATACTCGTGAAACTAGTATTTGTAACTAGTTTTTTTAAATACTTGTACTCCTAAGACTTGGTCTGTCTTTTACCGAATACGACTCACCTCTATCTAAAACCTATATGTAGTATGCGTGCGGAGATATGTCTGACACGCAAGACAAAATTACTTAATGTAGGTTATGTATAAATTCTAAAATAAGAATTTCCTCGTCTATACTAGAATATTTTTACATCATAAATTTTTTTTATTTGTATTATTATGTTTGTTAAGTCTAGTAGCGAAACCTACAATCTTCGGCTACAAATCAGTGCGATGACGTATTTAATCTGAAATGCGCTAATAAAGTTATTTTTTACTCCTAAGGATATACACAACTTCTCGATCTACGCCATTGGGCCCTTCAGCCTACGGTCCGGCCAATCATTGCTTAGACTGTTCAAATATCCTTCCTTTTTCCTTAGGTTGGAGGAGTTTGATCATGCCCGTCTTCCCTCCACAGTCTCTCTATATCTATAGCTTGGTTTTTTTAATGAGATAGGGGACATCGTTTGTGGTTGCGTCCACTTGTGAAAGTGTTAGGTCAATGTATTTTTTTTTATAGAACAGTGGGCTAACGGGCAGGAAGCTTACCTGATGTTAAGTGATACCACCACCCATGGACACTCTCAATACCAGAGGGCGCTGAACTCGCTAACTGAAAAACGTTCAGTTGTGGAACGGCGGACGTCGAGTTGATACGGGTGGAATTTCGTATTCTGCCTCGACGTCCGATAATGAAACTCAGCTGCAGGTATTAATCCGAACAACTCTGAACACCCTCCATGGTAAATGCGGTAGAAGATGCATAGTGACCCCACATCTCTACGCAACGCCAAAGGATCAAGCCGCTCGGAGAGGAATTGGTCGTCGACAATTCGAACCGCTCTTTGTGGAATACGGACAAGTGAAAGGAGCTGGTACTGGGGAGGCCCCACCCAATGTAACTTAGATTATAAGTAGAGGTCAATGACGGAAAATGAGGAAATAGACGAAATGAAGGGTGCATACGGAATTATTGTCTGTACAAAGTAATCGTATTAATTTAAACAAAAATGTTTGTATAAACTTTTATGTATCAAGTCGTGCCGACCTCAAGGCTGATGAAAATGTGGAAGAATTAAAATAATCAACTTTGACAAACAAAGTTAAATTAAAACAGTATTTTTCTCAGACATGTTCATAAATCAACATAACGGTGCCTAGTTACCTTCTAATTTCTATAGTGTCGTACTGGTTCTGTCTTATATGTAGTTTAGTCTGTCTGAGAATGTAGTATTCCTTGTCTATAGATTACATGTCTTGAAATTTGAATTGACTTTGTCACAGTCTTGGTAGATTTCCTGCAATTTGTTATTTGTGATTTATGATAGGTTAGGCAATTTACTATCGTTTATCAGTAATAATTGTTTTGTTTTTATTTTATTGTATGCTCTTCTTTACTTTATTTTTTTAAATAATATTGCAAAAACGTGGCTGATGCTTATGTCCAAAACATATAGATACTTGTACATATGACTATAATATTGAGCTGACTTTATGTAATAGTAGTTAAAATCTTATAGACGAACACTGAAAATTGACACGACGACTTAAATAAAATATAAATGATATGACCCACAACAGCGATGACCGGAAAGAAGACCAACCAAATTACGCTCGACTTTTTGTTGTATGCAGTAGGCGAACTAAAGAAGAAGACTTAAGAAAACTATTTGAAGAGTATGGTACTATAGACGACTTGCATGTTCCACGGGACCGTACTACTGGGGAGAATAAAGGGTATGCCTACATTAAGTATAAAAAAACATCTTCCGCTGCTTTAGCAATTAAAGCCTTGCATCTAAAGAGCATCAATGGAAAACCTATGAAAGTTATGGTTGCAGCAAACAAAAATGAGTCTCAACTCTCTGATCAGTATGGAGACAAATTCACACGACTTTTTATAAAAATACCTAAAGAATATACTGAAACTGACATTATTGACAAGTTTTCTAAATTTGGACAAGTACAATCAGTATACATATTAAAGGATAGGAAGACTAATACCAGTAAAGGGTTTGCATATGTTAAATATGGTGAATTTTATGATGCAGCAATAGCATTTGAAAGATGTGACAAAACTTATAAAGCAATTTTTGCTGCACCTAAAGATTTAAAGCGTGACAGGAGTGTACTTGAAGATGAAAGTTTTTTACCTCACTCTCAGAAAAGAGCAAGAAACAATTCAGACACTTTTAACCAACAGCCTATTTTTGAGATGAACAAATTTAATGCCTTTACAAGTATGGCTAGTAAGGAGTACAGAACCATCTGTGTAAAATGTGTCCCAATAATATCTGAAAAATATATTTACCAACTGTGTAACATTATACCTGGATTGCAGAAATGTCAATACTCTTTAGATATTTACAATGGTGTATGTACTGCTAATGTAACTTATGAAGAATCTAAATATGCTGCTTATGCTGTACAAAAACTAAACAAGTTTGAATTTCCATCAGGAGAAATAATTTCTGCAAAACCAGATGCAAATCCCTTGGCACAAGTAGCAACTGACCTTACAGACATAGTAAATAATTTTAAAAGTTCTGTTGATTCAGGGGTAGACCTTATAAATTTGGCAAATGCTATTGAAAAAGCTTCCTCTTTAATAAAAGCTGCAGCTAGTGGTCAAATAGAGACTAAAGAAAATCCAAATTATTGTAATATACCATTACCTCCTCTCAAACCTAAATCAAATACTTTAAAAGTTGCAAAAAGATTGTTTATCATTTGTAAACCTGAACCACCCCCTGTGCCAGTGCTGCATGATGCATTTTGTCGATTTGGTGACCTTATTGGTGTCTCTACTTTTCCAAATAAGACATTTGGCTTTGTAAAATATGCTTCACACGATTCGGCACAGGAAGCCATGAATGTTTTAAATGGAGCACTAATATGTGGAATGAAGCTAAAAGTTATTGAAGCTGATGAGAAGCCACACTGTGAAGATAATACTGTTAAAGAGGAGTTAGCATCGTGACAACACATTAAAACTTGAAAGTAACATTTTGTATTAGCTACACTCAGTAAGTTGACTTGACTAGCTTATTGAATGTAACCTCCAAGTTGAGATATAATAAATTCGAAATCACAATACTTTTAATACTTTTATTACAATGAGATTACAATTTGACTATTACTAGCAGGCAGAATTAAATTTGACTTAAGACTTCAAAAAGTACAATACAGTTACCAAGAGCTAGTTTTAAAATTACCAAAAACCTTGATTGTTTCAGTATAGTACATTTTATCTTGGATACAGATTTTCAGGTTTTATGATACAGTTACATAAAATGGTATGAAAAAAATGAAGGTACATGAAAGACATTTCAGCTGAAGCTTAATTAGATGTTATATCTTATAAATAATTATATATTTAGAATTGAATTAATCTATAGAATATCATTCATTTGGCAGTAGTGAAAATGTAAGTTAAAAATTTATATTGCAGTAAATATAAATAATTAATTTATAATTTATTAAACACTAGTCTTCTACAATCATTCATAACCGTTTGCCAAAAAAAATTTCTCACACAATTAAGGTAATGAAACCATCTACTCCACAGATTAATGAACAAAATATGTACATTGACAATACTAAAAACAGACAAACACCAACAAAATTATCCTATAATATATCACTAGACGCCATGTAGGTTCAGATAAAAATAAGAATTAAACAAGCTGACATTTATATCTAGTTATTTTTTAGCAAGTATGTAACTTCATTAATGTCAGCGAGTAATTTATTAATAAGGTTGTCATATGGAGCCACAGGATTGTTGGATGGATTGCTACAATTCTGAATGATTTCTCCTAATCTGCCATTTACCTGTACCATCTGAAATTAATAAGCAATTTTTTATCCATATTTTTATTTTATTCTAATGGGCTTCATTTGTGCTGTTGTATAAAACTTTAAAATAATTCAAAATGCAAAAATTTACTTTACACAGCTTCATAATAAATCAGTGTGTATATAATTTTTGTATTACTGATAAAACTAAAAAAGATACTAGGTTTAAAATTATATATTTATTTTTTTAATTCCATTAAGATGCACTAAAGAGAACGCTTTGAGCTTTAAGCAGCCAATTTAGTAACAAATACAGGTACAAATATATAAATTTTAACAACAAAATCAATTTGTCAAATGAAACAATGCTTGCTATATTTTACCTGTGTAAACAAAGTGACATCCTCGCACAGTTGACATAGTTTTCCTTCCAATTCTGCGCTTCTTCCACTTGCATCAGTGGAAATTTTCACATTAGCAAGACTCTTGCTCAATTTATCAAGACTAACAGCATAGGGAGTTAAGTCCAATTTTTCTATGGTTACTGATTTGAAATTTGTATGGCATTCTTTTTCATTTAAACTTTTTCTGAGTTCTTCAGCATAGGTTTTCATAGAAGCTACAATATTATCAATGTCCACTATGTTTGTTTGTACCATATCTGGCAAAAGTAGTTTGGGAGCACCAGCTTCAACAAATCTAGCAAGTTCTTCGTGCTGCGACCTTTTAAATTGATACTGATGCTGAGTGTTTGGAATGCTATCGAAAAGTGTTTTGATTTCTCTCATTATGTTTTGTGAATCCGCTAATTCCCTGTCTAAATCAGCAGTCATTTTTTCCAAAGAATCCAGTTTAACCATGGACTGCAGATATTGCGCAAATGATTCAGGATTCGGTTTATCGTTAGGATTCATTATTTTAATATGTTTGAGCTTGGACCGCTCTATACAAATGTTGATGGCGAACTTGCGTGCCTTTTATGATGATCAGTTAATATATATTAACACACAAACTTCCTAGATAAAAACTATTATTTTTATACACTTCACCATCAATCAGCCTTTACTTAAAGTTAAAATGCTTTTTGATCCGAGAATGCTCTTACAATTTTTCGCGACATCAGTTATATTTGTGGTTTTTATTACCATACATATAACTTACTCTATGGTTTTTATTGATTCATTTATTTGATCTGTCTACACCACGGATTCGTCTAGACTCTAGACAGTAGCTAATAGCTATACCCCATATTAAATTCGTATTCATGCTGTAGACTAATCAAGGCTTAGAGAGAGATTTGATTTTCAGAAAAAGTGACTCCCGTATGTAAGATTCTAATACATTTTCGATGAACTGGAGTTAAATTTAGCGATAAGTATGGTTTCTAAATCCTACCCTAGGCTAAGAATGCACATTAAAAATTTAATCTGCTGTCATCCAGGGATGGGGCTCATCACCTGAATCTAAATGTTATCGCACGACATGAAAATTGTCAGGCTTTTTCAGAGCAAGTGTAGCCAAGTGGTACAGTTTAAAGGATACCCTTTTGATGAAGTAACGTTCTAATGTGAACTTTCTAGGCGTGAGATAAGGCTGGTAATTATACCAGTATTAACACGAAAGACAGGGATGATCTGATTATACCTTGGATCGGACCTTCTCGAAGCCAGACAGTACTTTCTAGAACGCCGTACGACAAGGATGGAGCGAAATTGCAAGAGATACGTATATTCTAGAATTGTGCTACAAGGCTAAAACACCAGCTGCTCAGTAGGTACTATTCCTGTCAAGAAAGTTCTTAAATATCGTTATTCCCAGGGATATATAAGCGGCCCAAAACGCGAAAAGTTTTGAGTGCGATTCCGAGAGATAAACAGCAAAGAGATCAAAGTGCGAATAGAGTGATCAAGTACTGTGAATATTTTAAGCGCGCGGTTAAAGTAATAAGTGACTGTGCATTATGAAACTTCTGAATATTTTAGATACTTTTATATGTATTTATTGATCCAGATAGCACCCGGAGTCTGCAAATAAGATGCATTCTATAACAAAATGCACGATATGTCTTTCTTGTGGGTCATACATGTCGCAGAAATTCAGCTAGCGTTCCTATACCTAATTTTCGCTAACATGTGTAGGTATGCATTTTTCCCGTATATTTTTATTTGTTCATTTTATAAGAGAACGTTTTGGCTACCGATTCCGATATAACTCAGTATATTCTACCTAAGTGCCCTGTTTTTCTGGAGTATCCTGCATTCTAGTTCTACTAAGTCAAAGAGCAAAGATCCTGAAAGAAAAGAAAAAGTATATTACATAAAATAAAAAAAGATACACAATATAAATGAGGAAGTGTACTAGCCCCAACACTAGGATTTTCCCTTGAATTTGACATACTTATGACTATACGGTATTATTAGGTACATGAAGTATAAATAACAAGATATACAACACTTACAAGTTGTGTCACAGTGAACAATTTTAATGTTGGGTAGCGAAAGGTTTCATGTAGGATATTTTAAGTAGGTATAACGCGTTAAGGACACTCAATTCATATATATATATATATATATACATATAATTATACAGAGGTGCGGTAAGATAGTATCGACTGGCATAATAGTAGGGGAGCCCAAGCGGAAATTTTACTACAGCGTGGCAGATTAATATAAAAGGGGATACCATTAAAAAAAAATCATCTGAGTTAATTACATGCTAAGAAGTGTATATTTCACTAATCTGACAATTTGCAAGAGACGTAAAGAAAGAGGAGGGCTGCAAAGTTGTAAAAAAAACGTCATCTCGACATTCTCGAGCGTGGCTGATTTTTTTTTTATTTTGAAGGAAATAATTCAAGGATGACGAAAAATATATAATCTGACGATTTCAACAAGCCGAAGTAAGAAAAGTTCATCGATAAAGTTTTATACGTGCAGCTGCGTGATGCCAATATTCCCCTCTCCGCGTTTGTATTCCTCTCTTTTTGCACATTCTATTAATGACCGCGAGTTTGCGTGACATCCAAATCGTCAGATTATTTGATGAGCGCTTTTTTTAGGTTCACTTAAACATCCCATTAGAAAATCTGACGCGCTCGATTAAATATTATCTATATATATTAGGTTGGGGAAAAAGTCTTTTCGCATTATACTATGTATGAACTTGAAATAAAATCTCTTTGGCTATACTATTTGTATTTGCCTGTTTTTGTTATCATTGAAAGTTGAGATTTTAAAGAAGATAATTCCAAATTCATATTAGGATAATGTGTGATTTTTATTTATTTTTCGTACCGTCAATATAAGTGAATCTAACGAAGAAATTTGATACATTTTAAAATTTTACTACAATACAGGTAAAAATGCAACGCAAGCCGCGACAAAAATTTGCGATGTTTATGGACCTAGTACAGTGTCTGTGAGAGTAGCACAAATTTGGTTTAAGCTTTTTCAATTTTTATTTTTTTTTGACCATCGATTCTGAACTCTACTGCGAAACACTGATGAGATTAAAGCAAGGAGTTGAGAGAAAGCGGCCGGAAATAATCAACAGAAGTGGTGTGGTTTTTCATTTTTATTTTTTTATAGAACGGGGCAAACGGCAGGAGGCTCACTATTTAATGATACCGCCGCCCATGGAACTCTCAATCCAGAGGGCTCGCGATGCGTTGCCAGCCTTTTAAAAATTGGTACGCTCTTTTCTTGAAGGACCCTAAGTCGAATTGGTTCGGAATACTTCAGTGGGCAGCTGGTTCACATATGTGTCGCGGCAAAAACTCTTGAGAAACGCTCAGTTGTGGAAGTCGACTCAGGTGATACGGGTGGAATTTCGTATTCTGCCTCAGTCATATAAATCAGTCAGTATTAATCGAACAATCCTCTGAAATCTCCATGGTAAATGGTAGAAGATGCAGAGTGACCCCACATCTCTACCAACCCAAAGGATCAAGCCGCTCGGAGAGGGATTGGTCGTCAACGATTCGAACCGCTCTGCGTTGTATACGGTCAAGTGGAAGGAGCTGGTACTGGGGAGCCCCCCCCAGAGGTGAGAGCAGTACTCCATGTGGGGCCAATGCGCTTTATATAGTTGCATGCGGTGGCCCGGAGTGAAGTACGTCTCCCTTACTAACACCAACTTTTTGGAGGCTAATTTAGCCTTTCCCTCCAAGTGACCCGAAACTGAACTCGCTCGATATGTCAAGCCAAGTATTCCAATGTGGCTGTGGCTTTAAGAAGAGTGTTTTCAAAAGAGGAGTAGCGACAAAGGGTGTTTTTAGCGGAAAACGCGCAAACTTTGTCTTCTTGGGGTTAAATTGACTAGGTTTTGTCTGCCCCAATTAGACTCACAATAGAGTTTCAACTTCAGAACAAGTTTGTTCGTACTCATCAACAACTGCCCGAGAAATACCTGCCCGGCCAGTGTAAAAATATCCCCAGTACTGTCATCCATAGCAATAATGTTGCTAAGTTTCAATATCATGATATGCAAAGAAATAGGGTCGGGGATAGAACACAGCCTTGTGGGACCCCAGCTTTACGGGTTTTAGGTCGGAACATGCTCCGTCGATGACACCTTGATGCTCCGATCGGCCAAAAGTAGATCAATTGCGTAATTTCTCGGAAGCCCATAGGCTGAATTCAGAGCAGTGCTCTGTGCCACACCCATCAAGGCTTTCGCTATTCCAAATAACGCTAGCGCCTCCCCCTTGGACTCAATTGCCTCTGCCCATCTTAGGTAAGGTATACAAGAAGGTACCAGCGAACGACCCACAAACCTACTAAATCCTAATAGCTGGTGGCCTCTAGATACCTCAAAGCTGGCAATTAAAATGGATTCCATTATTTTGGAGAACAAGGAGGTTATACTATTGGGCATAGTTGGACGATAGACATCGCCTTTTTAGGATCGATGTATCAAAGCGGTCTTCCAGCACTTCGGGACAGTCCACAGACAGATACCGGAAAAGGGCGTTAAGACACAATCAGGAGCACAAGTACCACACAATTGGGGGATACATCCGGCCGCTCATATGAATGTCAAGGAAGATATCTTTGCGGACAGCACGTTGCCGGAATGTGATTTCCGGCATCGAAGAATCACACCGCAAATGGTCGGTGGTGATTCCCTCGTCATAAAGTCAGTTAGACAAGAGACACCCAAAAGGTAGCCTTCTCCTTCCAGTTGGGAAAGTATCCTCCTGTCAGTGGCGGAATGGCGGGCTGACAAAAATTCCTTGGACAGCTTTGGCGAGAGAAGAAGGCTCAGTCCCTGATGGGAGTTGGGCAATCTCTCGCAAATCTGCAATGTGCTCTGACTTTGCCTTAGTGATTTCCGTTTGAAGGACCTGAGGCTGAGTTATATGCTTTTTAAGTTCCTGTATTGCATCACGAGATTTCCCCTTCCGCCCATGCCTTAAAGCATTCTCGCTTTCACGAGGCCGCCTTGCAAGAACGTTTAAACCAGGGCTGAGACTTGCCACCGATCGGCACCGCAGAAAATGGAATAAAGAGTTCCATGCCCTGCAGAACCACTTCGGCGACAGAGGCGGCGACGGAATCTGGAGTTCCGGCGAAAAGCACATAGGCCCCAGGGTAGGACCAAAGAAAGACGCATCCCGTCCCAATCTCTGACTTATATCCAAATACGGCGACAACCTAAAGCGGGGCCGTGAAGGGCGCGTAGATCACAGTACTCGACACACAATGTCTGATGAACCCAATGGCGGGTCAAAGAGACTTGATATTCTCCATGAGAAGTCAGCAGAAGGTCAACAAAGAGGGTTTATGACCATCCACATCTGTATTCCTAATCGCAGGGACCATTTGTGTCAGGTCGTAGGTAAAGCAAAGTCGTGAAAGGATCTTCCCGCGTGATCGGTGGTTTCAGAGGAGCCAATCGGCATGGTGGGCGTTAAAATCGCCAAGTATCACGATTTCAGCGGTAGGAACCCTTTCGAGCAGGAATCTTAGCCATTTGGATGTGCTCAATGAGTCGTAGTTTCGGTATTTCCGCTATGGGACCTATACAGCATCGTAGAATCGCGATGTCATCGCAGTCTACCCACCAGAGTTAGATAGGTCCTTCCTTCAACGTCCCGAGGCACGAGAAAGATATCCTCTCTGAGTACACCAAACTCCACCCGGCAAAATGAATGTTCCAATTTGTACCGGGTAGATAGGTGGGAAGTATCAGCCGGGAGGATATCTGAGTCTCGTAAGAAAGAGCAAGGCCGGCTTCCAGTTCTAATATAGTGGACAGCTTGATGTTAGAATTAAGCCCCTAACATTTGTAAGTCCACGCAGTTGGACGGGTGCCTTTGTATAATTGCTCCGTTTGCCCAGGAGATTACTATTTTTGTAGAGCGCAGAATTGCCCCCAGAATACGAAGGGCAGCCTGTGCGTCCACCACTGGTTGAGTGTCCCGGTGGTGGACGCCCAAGGGATTCTACCAGCTTGTGGTACCCCCTGGTAGATTCTGTTTTTCTGCACCTTCATATTTCTTTGTTGTGGGGGATGGGCTCCAATTCTCTCACCACGAAACGAGTACAAGAAGGCGAACCTTTTGCATCACTTCACGCCGGTTTTCTGAGAGACAGTGGTACTGCCCCGGTCGTCCTCCCATTGGCTAAGCCCGAAGGCAAAGCATGGCACTCCCACTAAAAAAACTCATCAAGATAACGCTAGACCTCACACATCCTTAGCCACTCAGCAAAAATTAAGAGAGCTTGGCTGGCTTTAGGCAGTGTCAGGTTAACATCACGAGAGGACTGCCAAAACCAATTGTCGCGGTATTTTGATCAGAAGCCCCAAAATTTCTATAGCAATGGGATCACATCCCTACCTACAAGATGGCAAAAAGTTATCGAACAAAATGGTACCTACATACTTTAGTTAAATGTAAATAAACTATATTAAAAAATGTTGTGAATTTTCTTGAAAAATGCGAAGAAACTTTTTCCCTAACCTATTATATTTTTTTTTCATTTTCAACCCTTACGTACGACCACCCCCACCATGAAAGCGATCAGATTAACATACGTACGTTATTAAAATACGTAGGACATTGATGCTATCAATATCTGACGCACTCGAGTATGTCCATATATATAGAGTATAGCCGCTCCCCCACCGATGAAAAGGTATACATTATATAACATTTTTATTATCTAAGCTTCGCATTTTATGCGCTCGAGTAAATCCCCATTAAGCATCGTGGGTTCCCCTACTATTATATGTACTGTATACATACTTGTAGTATGTGATTCGGAAGATGTTCTAAGGCGTTTCAATAAATTTAAAGTTTAAGTGTTCGAGAACAAAGGTAATCGACTTCACTACCCATAAATTCAAACTTGTTGCTTCTATTGGATAGAATAATAAACAACTGAGGATGTTTCCACGAATTTAGAAACCATGGTGAAGGCTTTGGCTAGATCGTGATAAACGCCAATAAACATTTGCTTTTCTAACTTAGAACTTATAGACAGGTTGGAAGAAGATAAACGGTTATATGAAATTTCCATTTTATTGACTGTTTTATAGATGCGTGTGATATTAGCTATTTTCCAAGTTTCAGGTACCTTGCTCAATTCTAAAATTGCAAATATAAAAAAATTGGTGCAGAAAGAGTTTTTTTTTAATGAAATGTCTATTTGATTACTTATATTTTACATTATCAGGCGTAGAATTAGGCATTAAAGAACGCAAAGTTTTAATATTTTTTTTCGTCATGAGGAAGGAATAAAGAAGAATTTGGTTTTAAGGTGGATTGAATTACTACATTACAATTTACAACAACGATTCTGCTGACTCCGCCACGAAGTCCTGACCCAGACCTGCGAATCAATCATTCCTAAGAATCAGTAAGATAAGTATACTAGGTATTCGCTGCTGTTGCTATCCAACGTATTCGCTAATTTACAAGTTATCGACACGGCAGTCAGCCACTTAGGTTATCGGACCAGCCAGTCAGTGGTTACACTGGTCAAGGAGCCTATATTAAGGTCAGAAAAAAGCGCAAAATCCCTCCACAAATAGTACAGTACATATGTAACAATTTTATTAAACTACAATAATTAAATTAATAATGTTGATATCACAACACAAAAGCGTCAATTTTGCACTGGAATCCCTTCGTAATTGATGATTATACAGCACAATTAGCTTTTTTGCAGTAGCTCTCTTTTCAGCAAGAACTATTTACGTTAATTCAAATACCGAACTTTTGTAAATGAATCGGGCGGTAGAAAAGAAACAGCGAAACGATTTTGATATTTCACTTCACAACTTCATTATTTTTTTTTAATTTATTTATTAGCCCCTTCACAACTTCATTATTTTGTACAGTGTTACAATTGAAGAAAGCCCTTAAAAAAATAGTAAAAAGAATTTTTTACAGTACTTATGTACGGCCCAGTGTAGCTTTATATTCTAATAAATTTAATAGATATCCATTATTATAATAAAATAATATGCCTATAGATACTGATGTTATTAATATTAATAACAATAAAAAACCCAATAAAAGTTTGCTAACGTTGACTTATTTTAATTTTTAACTAACAATATGGTAGATATTTATTCAATCAGGTAATATTGATCTGGATATAGCTGATTGCTTCTTTTGTAGAGCGCTTTCTCATTTTCGCAGATAGTGCCATTGTAGGCATTGGCTGATACGAAAGCTGACAGCAGACAGACAGACTGAGTGACAGTGATCACATCAGTCATCACTCATCAGTCATCAACAGTAACACATGTAGGCTGTAGCTAGTTGTCTTAAATTTTAATTAAAATCCATTTAACTGTAAGTTATGAAAAAATCAAAGTTATCTTAGTAACATTTATTGTGGTAACCGCAATTTACTTCATTAAGGGACATTTATACAATTAAGTCTAAAAGTAAAAGTTCAGGATAACCAAGAATATCGACTGTTTTGTTGAAGATGGTGCGTAAATTAAAATTCCATGAACAAAAACTTTTAAAAAAGGTAGATTTTATATCATGGAAAATAGATAACAATCTTAATGAAGTCAAGGTAATGAAAAAATATCACATCCAAAAGAGGGAGGATTATACTAAGTAAGTGTGCCTTCAGAAAACATATTTTGTTATTGTTTTTCTCTATAAATTAAATTGTTGCTATTGACTTTATATTCCTTTCTTTTTTCAGGTACAACAAATTGTCAAGAGAAATTAGGGATCTGGCAAATAAAATAAAAGATGTTGATGCAAATATGGAATTTCGAACAGAGTCCAGTGCTCAATTATTAGAAAAACTATATCAAATGGGTTTAATACCAACTCGATGGGATTTAGCACTTGCACTTAATGTATCCGCTAGTTCTTTTTGTAGAAGAAGATTACCCGTTGTTATGGTTAGAAGTAAGTATATTTGCTATGTTTCATTCTGTTGTCATGAAAATAAAAACATACAATTTTCCCTTTTTGTTAATAGCTACAGTGTTTTCGTTTTAAGAGATTTATAAAAACGTCTCATTTATAGTTTTTGGCTGCTCATGCAAGGAAAATAATATAATTTGTATTAGATACCTTATGACCTTTTTTAACAGGTAAAATGTCACAGTCTATTAAGGATGCCACAAAATACATAGAACAAGGACATGTTAGAGTTGGACCAGAAGTAGTAAAGGATCCTGCATTTCTTGTCAATCGATCATTAGAAGACTTTGTCACATGGGTAGATGGGTCTGCTATCAAGAAACATGTTATGGAATATAATGAAATGGTATGTTTTTACTTCTTTGTGAACTGTTAAAATAATAATATACCTTTTGTGCCATTTAGTTAGTAGTGAAAATATATTGACCTTTTCGTATTAGGGCAACAAAACCCTACTAATCAATAAATTTAGATGGTACAAAAAATTTTATACTTAAAACTTTATTATTACTAGGTAGAGGCTGTGTAGCATATATTGCATACTTGAAGTTTTCGTTTTAACTTAAAATTTTGTTTTTTGTTTCAGAGAGATGATTTTGAAATGGTGTAGCTTACACAAGACCATTGATTTGACAAAATTTCTTTAAATAAAATATTTTTTCTTAAATCAATTCTATAATTTAACTTATGTCTACACAACAGAGTAGCATAAAAAGTATCACAGATCTTAACTACCTATTTGAGACTTCAGTCATAGACAGGATTGAGAAATTGTATGTAAAAAAATTAACCACATGCTTGTTAAAAATGTGTGGCAGATGCACTCTGAACTTAATCTAGATCCAAAATATAATAATAATTTTCACAAAGCAAGAGCATCCTCAATAGGGTGAATTTTACTTTCTAATACAGAAGCAATCCTTAACATGGCTTCTGCTTGTATCAATACAGCATCAGTAAGCTTTCTTAAGGCTTCCACTTGGTTTCTAGCTGTTTCTGCATTTTGAGCTGCAATGTCAGCCTGTTTTTCTTCAGCTTTTGCTCTTCTTAACTCGATGTCTGTCCTCTTTTTTTCTATTTCTATTAACCACTTTGGATATATATCTATAAAATACAAATCAATATAAACAATTACAGTTTCAATTAAATTGCTTTTAAACCTTATACTTCATATACCTACTTTGTAGTTGCATCCTGTTGTTGTCAGTCTCAGATACTTCATCATCACTCTCACCTGCCTCGCTTTCATTTTTTTCACTATCTAAATAAGGGACAACTGGTAATTAACATTATAAAAATTTACATTTGATTTGCTTCATATAGCTGAAGTTGTTCTCCAGTGAGTTCTCTTGATAAATACATAACTTAGTTCCAACATACAATATTTCATTTTAAGAATTTACAGCTGTGTAATCCTCATATGCCAAGGCAGAATTTACTCATTATAATTGTAGGTCTAAACTATTAATGAAAATTGAAATTATATATAATCTTATATGAAATTCATCAAAAATGTTGACAAACAGACACCAAGATACTAGGTGTGTTGCTTGCCTCTTAAGAAAAGGGGTCATGAAGAAATGTGTTTTTCAAATGAATACATCTAAGAATATTATATAGTAGAGATATAAAACTAAAATTATTACATCCTATATTGCTTAGCTATAAAAAAACATTTGTTTTGTTCAGTTAAATTTGTATAAGCATTATAAACAAACATTATCTGCATACCACTTAATTTGTCACTAGATTCATTTACATTGCCACCCATATCAAAATTATGTTCTTCCAACTTGACTTTTGGTAGACGGTGATTCTATAACAATATTAGTTATGTATGTGTTATTTACACCAATTTGCTAATTACACCAATTTAAACAAACCACGGTTCCATCTCTTTTCATAACAAACATAATTTGTAGAACAATATAACACAAGACTTGTTAAATCCATGTAATAAGACTGATTAGTATGAATGAGGGGATTAATTTATATCTGAAGTTAATTCTTAAAATGTCATTTTAATACTATTTTATTTACAAGAAAGGGATTTTAAGGTTTCTGGTATGTAAACTATAAAGTGCATTTCATGAGGACATTACTTTGATTTCATTTTAAATATGTACTTACTATGGCCCTATGTTTTCCTGAATGATACCCGGCTTTGGCAAAGTCTGGTCCTAATATTTCCAATATTTGTCTCTCCAGCTTATTGAGTGGCTTTAAATTAGGTCTATAGCTTGAATATTTACGATTTATTAAAATCACCTTTCTTTTAAGTTTATTTTTGAAATCATTCCAGTACTGCAACAGAATAAATTCCCAATATTATAAATTAAAGTTAATATTGAGATTAGCAAGTTAATATAAGTATAATTATTGATTATTAATCTAATACCTTTCTCCAACCATCTGCTGTCTTCTTAGTACCACTTTGCATATTATTTACGATATTCGAAAGCTCATTCCAGAGTTTTCTATTCAAGTGTCGATCTTGGAGCGTGCGTAGGGAACCGCTTGCTAAATCTACGTGCCGTCCCATAAATTCAACTACAGCTTTAATTTGTTCATACGATACATGGCGAGGATTCCGAGTCATATTTTTAATATATTATAAACAAGCTGAAAATACTGCGTTATATGATCATATTTGTCTTCTACAATCTCCTTGTGTCTTAATTGTCTTGTTATTTTCGTATAGTAAAGTTCACTTAGAATCCTGTTTGTTATAAATTAAGTTAAATCACGACAAAATATTTGAATTTTATTATAAAATACTATATTTGCAATTAGTCATCAGTCATCACCTCTATTATTTAATATTATTTATTCAGAGTGTTTCGGTCTTTGGAGTAAACAAAACAACCAAGTTGACGTTTCAATTTATTTTGGCGAATGCTTTGGCAATTTACATATCACAGTCCACATAAAGTACGTCTAAAGTATATACTATAGCCCGATATGCTGTGCCACAGGCTATCACCTGGAAACCAGCGTCATATGGTCCCCTTATGAAAGGTATTATGGGGATATGATTGAACAAGTGCAAAAGAAGTTCCTGAGAAATCTGTATAAAAGAAGATACAATTTTTTTCCTTACCTCTACCCTACTAAGTTCTTGATGGGGGTGTTAGGGTATAATTCATTAGAGCTTCGTAGGGATTTTTCGGTGGTCAGGTTTGTTCTAAGCGTGATTAAGAATGAAACGGAAAGCGCATACTTGCTGGGCGAGATCATGAGGCTATACGTTCCGGACAACTACCTTTTCGCTGTGCGTTCGGCTCGCACTGTCCAGCGACAACAAGCGCCCATTCCTCGGCTACTCTCGCTACTTAATGGGTTTCTCGACTCTTCGCCGGAGAGTGACCTATTTGGGAAGCTTATGGGGGTAGTATACTGCGATTTCAGAGTATACTTGGAGGGGATAAGAGGATAGCATTTACTGTCAATTTTGTAATTGTATTTATTGTAGTTTTTTAGTCTAAGTTTGGCCATGGGCTGTAAATAAATAAATAAAAAAATAAAACACTATTTCTCTACATAGGGCAGTAGTTATGATGTGGCGCAATACTGGCACTTGGTAATTATTGTAGCGCGAACAGAAAAATCTGATATAATATTATAAGAATCATGCCTGCCGAGGTATCTATATTGGCTACGTTCCTCTGTATTAATTCACTTGAATCCTTTCGTTTGTCAGAAAGCATACTTTCGATATATTTCGCCGTTACCGGCGCGCGTCCTCAGTTCATCATTTTCTGCAATCTTGGCTTATCATATGTTAAAAAATCGGAATTAGAAGTCCAAGAACAAATATGATCTATGAAAGATTCTCAAATTTAGCTCCTGAAAAGTTCCTTCCTCTATTTCTGTAATTTAAGAATTATATCGATTTATGTGGTGCGGATGATGTTGTTGAAAAGGATAACATGAGTAACGCTGAACCCGAACCCTGACGTTAAAATGTTATTCAGTCTTTATCTAAACTCAATTACGATTTTTATAAGAAGACTGGAACTAGCGATGAAGAAAAACCATACCATATCAAATAGTTGAGCATTATTTGAATCGTGAAATACACAGTACCTTCAAAAGTAGATCAGATGGTAAAACGACGAAAAAGGTAAAAATATTACAAAAAGCCGTTCCAAAATACTGAATTAATCGAGTAATCATACCCTGTGTGTGCCTTACTGAATATTGTATTTTTTTAACGTCAATTTTAAAGTTGATTTGGCCAAGATGAGAAATTGTAGGTGGAGTTAGTATTCAAGAAATATCTTATTTGTGTTTTATTTCGCTGATATCTTCCACAATCGAATGAGTATGTAAAAGAGGTACCTAAACGTCTTCGATCTTGTTTGTTTTACTCTTCTGGCAAATTTTACCACTGGCATTTCGTTTTCAAATGACAAAATTGTTTTAAGAAAATATTTCACTTTTTTTTGTTGCAAACTGCACAACAACCCGTTCATCTTTTTTTAATGAACTTCACTTATTAAATGGTATTTAACTTAATCCGAATGGTTTAAATGCACATGATATTATGCATATTCTCTAGCTCTTCGTATTCCTCCTTATTTTCCTTCTTTTAAATTACTTTTCTATGTAATGAAACTTATTTTATATATAATTTAATATGTCAATAAATAATCCATATGGGTTGCCTAGCAAATTTCAGTCCAGAGTATGTTTAATTAATTTAAAAAAATATTTTTAAACATTTCACCGGTATGATTATGAGATAAATTCTATACCAATCGAACGTATGAAGCCCATAGAATATGCAAACGTTAGGGTTTTTAATCAATTAATTATTCATGTGTATATTTTTTATGTGACACTAAAGTATATATACATCTTTAGTATAAAATAAGGTTATAGTGATACATATATAATACTCCCTGATTAAAAATATTGAAAAAAAGTTCAAAATTTACTACATGCAAATTATTAAAAAAATTTTTTTAATATTAATTAAACATACTCTGGACTGAAATTTGCTAGCAATTTGGATTATATTTATTGACATATTAAATTAAATATAAAATAAGCATCTCGGTGAAGGTCGTTGTATAGCGGGACTTATCTATATGTAATCTTTCATATTGTTACAATCAAGAGTCATCGCTTTGAATAATCACAACTTCCGTTTCGTTAGCCGAATTTATTGTGCCTGAATGTTCATTTTATATGCTTATCTTCGTATTTGTTAATATATTTGTCTTTATGAATATTTATAAACTCTTTTCTTTTAATTCTTTTTTCTGTTACTTTACTTACTTTTGGATTTTTTTGAAGTTATACTTCTTTAGGCGCGTTATGAAAAATTGATGAGAGTGAAATTTTACGATGCGATCGCACCTGAGACACAAATTTGTCAGTGTGATTATAGCGTGCGCGAGCGAGATGGGAATAAGACAATCTACAAGTAAAAAGAAATAGAATATGCGTGAAGTGAGCAGCTATGCCAAGAATGTTGAATGACCATAATGACATTTACCTTTTAAACAAATAAAGGAGTTTTAATTATTGTTTCAAAGAAATTTAGCAATGCTTTTTCAAAAAGACCTATTGTTACTTAGTTAAAAGGTTATGAAACATACCTAGTTATTCAATTGAATGAATAGTATAATAAAAGAATAATAATTATTATTATTAATATTAATTAATAATTGAATAATATACTAAATATTGAATATTATTAAATTATTAACGTTAAATATTTATAATTAATTATTTAATATTTTATTAGAATAAAGAAAGCCAAAGAAGTATAACTTCTTACGCGCGTACATAAGTACACGCACCCTTTTTTAATATAGTACAGCGGGAAAATGGGCAGGCGGCTTATTTGATGTTAAGTGATACCGCCGCCCATGGACACTCAACGCCAGAGAACTCCCGAGTGCGTTGAAGTCCTTTTATAATTCTCTCGTAGTGTAATATGTTTGTTTTAGAACATATTTATTTTTTATGTTACAAGGTAAAGTTTGTGAATAATATGTGAGATTTAGTATAACACTTGGGAACGGGGTAAGATAGAACTTTTGTATAGGTACTTATCTTACCCCGTAATTTTTTTTGGGTCAAGACGGAAAGTTGAGATACTTACTAAAATTAGCCGTACTTTGATGTCATTACGTAACTAAGAATAAAAAACTATAAATAGGTATTCTAATGAAACAATCCCCCTTGTATTAAAGTTACATTACATGGGGTAAGATTAAATCACTTGGAAATGTTACGAAAAAATCACAACGAAGAAATTTTTCAAATTCACGCACTCCACGCACTCTGAGCAGCTAACCTCGACTGTGGCTTTGGGACGTTAGAAAATGGCGGGTTTAGCAATTATACCAGCACTCAACAAAATATACTAAAAAAATACGTTAAAATTGGTGTTATAGATGAATTGTAGTCTCACCCCGGTTTTCACCTTCCCTCCCACTTACCCAAATTATAATTTGTTTACTACATCGATATAATAAATCACTACAAACCCGGTGTTTATGAATTTATTAACTTTAATCATAAAAGGTTGTGCTTAAATAGAAAAGGGCTTTTCAACAGACTTTTCAACCGCAGGAGGAGGTTATCAATTCTACGTGAAATTTCCTTTGTGTTAGTTGTAAACCGATCTGGATGGTCGAGATTTCAAATAATTCGGATTTGCGAATTGCTTCTGTAGAGTCTTGTAATCAGATGGATAGTTTTAGACGATGCTACGACACGCCGTTATTAATAGCTTATATAAATTTAGTTAGTTAAATCTATATGGAATTAAAAAATAAATGTGCATTTTGCTATTTATTTTGGATAAAAAGAATGTTTTTTTTGTGTGTCTGTAAGTGTAGGTGTCGTGTTAATCGTCAAAGCTACTTAGCGAATTCCTTTGCAGGCTTTTACTTAGCACGGACAAATATAACGGCCTGGCCACGGGGATCGGCGGTGCGAACGGCGAAGCGGGAGGCGAGGCGACCATTCATGCGGCGCCGTTTGCAGGCCACGGCCCAGTTACGTTCGCCGCCGCGACCAGTAAGGAAGTTCGACAGCGAAATGTCTTTATCGAAATCATCTCGATATTGCTTGGAAAGTAATAGCTTTTGGTTCAACACCTAATATTTGGAAGTGATTGTGAAGTACATGATTTAAATAAGAATCGAGGAAATCGAGGAGAGTTTTTTATTATTGAAATACTAGGCAATACCAGCTATTTGGAAGTCTGGCTATCCACAGTATAAATTATATACCTTAATGTCAAAAACAATTTTTCAGCGGCACTTAAATTTCTATTTGCATTAACTTTTTTCTCCAATTCTGGTTGAATATTTATAAGAATATAATCGAAGGTTTCAATACTCATTCTGGTATATTAAAAAAAAATTATGGATATATTCTGTATTTCTCATACTTCTTGTGGAATTCTCCATCTAAGTTTACCTTCGATTCCGAATCTTATTTAAATCATGTACTCCACAATCTCTTCCAAATATTAGGTCTTGAACCAAAAGCTATTACTTTCCAAGCAATATGGAGATGATTTCGATAAAGACATTTCGCTGTCGAACTTCCTTACTGGTCGCGGCGGCGAACGTGACTGGTGCGTGGCCTGCAAACGGCGCCGCGTGAATGGTCGCCTCGCCTCCCGCTTCGCCGTTCGCACCGCCGCGCCGATCCCCGTGGCTATGCCGTAAGGGGTTTCTTTATTGGAATCTTAAACAATGTCGGAGCCAGGACTTATAGCCCTGTGGATTCCACAACCGAAGAGGCAGATGCAAAAATACGTCAAAGAAGGGAGGTTGCGACAAGTATAAATAATGATGGGGATGTTTACATGCTGGAGGAGGGTCGCTAAAAATCGCGACCTGTGGCAGACACCAAGACCCATAAATGGATATATGTGTATTAAAATCTGAGGCCAAAAGTGTCTAATTAGATTGATTAATACTTTGGTTAATTGACCAAATGCCTGTTATAAATTGCATAGCAATATGTCACCATACAGCCAATTCCAAATGTTACGAGGTGTCAAAAAATCAAAGCCAACTATTGAATCTATAAAAATGTTTGATTTTTTAATTATACTAAAATATTCTTTTATGAGCAGACTGCAGTTCAATCGGATGAAGTCGCAGGCACCAATCAACTAGTATATAGACTTCTCAATAAATAATATTATACACAAAAATCAATTCAGTTCAATGTATGAATAAAGGGAAACAAATTTTCTAATAAGATTAATTGATTAAACCAGTTATCGGTAAATAAAATACCACAACTTAGATTTCATATTATATTTATTTTTGACAATACATCAACCAATATTAAATAAACAATGAAAGTAATATTATAATGAAAAAAGCATTTAACTCTATTTTTATAACTGAACATCTTTCAAATATTTTACAAGATAACTTCACAGCTATTTTACAAGAATACAGCTATGTAACAAATAACTTCACCATATAAAATAATACATTATGTATACCTAGTATGCTTGGAAATATTTAAAAAAGGTAAGGTTAGAAAAACGAAAGGTCCTAAGTATTCACTTTTTAGTATAAAAAATTGTAACAGGCAAGTATAAGCATAAGCTTTTAACAAAAAGGAAATTTGTCAATTTTTATTTTTCTTATTAGTATTGAGATAAAAAAATGTAAATTTACCTGCTCACAAAAACCGAACTGTGGTTTACCTAATTAGAGATAATTAATTATTAATTAAGTAATAATGTATAATGGAGGAAACTATTTTAATAATAAATTCCCTTTCATTACAATCTTTAAACTGAATGTTTCTTTAATTTCATACAAAAATAAGATCAATTCCATACATATTGTAATGATTATTATCATAGTTAAATTTAATAAGAGTCTAGACATTTTACATGTTTACTAAGGGCCAGCTATATTATTGCTTATTTTAACCACTTGTTAATTTAATACTAGAGGTGCTCTATGATCTATATAATAAAAATGAAAATGTACAATTAATAAAGTATAAGATTTGGAATACCCTCTGAAGACCTGTTTGTATGTAACAAAGCTGATAGACCCACAAAAGGTAAATTCTGAATAAAAATCTTCCCTTTTAACAGCATTCAGAAACTAGTGAGGTTCATGGAAAATAGCTGCCTTAAGTGACAGTTTCTCCTAGGACCTTCAGTTTATTAATTGCTGTACAAAAACAATACAATAAAGTAATGGAATTTTCGGCAACATATTTTAAATTATAATATAACATTATGTCACTTCGTCACTACAAGTCTGAACATAGTGCTAATTTAAGGAGGGTGAGTGCCCATCATCCCACACAATGTCAATGCTAGGCCACTTGGTCTGTAGACAGGTAAGCATAGGGTCTGTAGTTGCGGCTCGCATTGGACACTCAAGCAATGCAGCTCTTCCAGTTCTGTAAACTACTCTGCCTCCAGGGTTGCTTCGAGATAGACCATTATAGTGGTGTAATGTGAATGTGTCTGGTGCACCACGCTCACAGCCAGGAAAAAACTCGTCCATAAATGCACTCAACAATATTATTCCTAGATTCTCTGAGTCAAGCTTCCTTCTCATTAATTCCACATATTCTGGTTCACTGACAAGATCTGCTGCACATAAAACATCTTGAAGGGCAGCTGATGGTATGAAATTATTACCTTCAGGGTCAAAAGATCTAAATATACGCTCAGCGGACTCTCCTGCCGTTTCTGGTGCAGCAAGGCGTCTTTCCATAGAGAAAAGTACAGTCAAATGGGTTTCGGAAGCTAACACCCAAACAGGATGCTTTGGATTTTTATAAAATGAGCCAACTGTACAATATTGCATATGTTCCATTATGGTAAGAAAACCAATATCATTTTGCCTTTCAATTCCTCTTAAACGAAGTCCACCCACAACTTGATCATGATCCCAGACGTGGGCCACAGCCCGTCCCGTTAACATTAGATTTATTAGTCCTTGTGATCCATATCCATAGGTTGAATGAATTAATGGATCTGATAGTTCTGATAGTTCAGCCTCTACAGTTTCTAAACCTTTGCTAAGAATGACACTATACAATAAAAGCAGAACACCATATTTATCCTTTAGAATTCGGATATTTCGATTGTAAAAAGATTCTACTTCAGATAATGTTTGAAATGTATGTACTTCTAGTCTTCTATGAAAGTTTTCAATAGCATCAAAAGACTGTTCATCTACACTGACATTCACACTGGAACTGCCTTCTGTTCCTGCCTCACCTTTGCGGTAAACTGCAACATTGTATTTAGCAGCTAAACACTGGCTTAATATCATACACACAGCCCTAACCAAAAGAGAATTGCACTTCTCCGAGGTCAAGTCATGTAAAGTGTGACCTGGAGTCTCTGAGAGAAGAATTTTTAGCAGAAAGCCTTGAACAGGAGCAATAGCAGCGCATGGTCCTCCTTCTTGCTGGATGAGAGCACTTGGTTCGTCAGTACTAAATTGAAAGCCCTGTGCCCATCGTCTAAACACGTCTTCTTTGACATTGTTCCCCCACAATAGCCGTCGCGTACTTGTTAACTCACGTTCTAATGACGCTGTGCCAGCGCTCATATTACCTTCTTGTACTATACTCGAAGTACTCGTTTGATCTTCGTTCGAATTATCTAACATTTCATTTTAGTCTCTACGCCACCTACAAATTGTTAAAATATAATTGATTTGGAAAATACAAAACCATAAAGTATACCGGCCATACTGGCTCTACAATTAATTCCAGCAAATCTACTAGCACAACACAAAAAGAATATACCTAATATCTAACCACGTAGTTCATACTTACTAAAAATACGAAGATCATAGTAATTTTTAATATTTATAATTATTTTTCTTTTTAGAAAACTGATTAAACGAAGAAAACGTAACGCATCGCATTATAAATTTCAATAAACAGTATTAAAACTTTTCCGAAAAGAAAAGCTTACGACATAAAGGCTGCCATTTTTATGGAAAAGCAGCAACATTTGAACTCAATGTCAATATTCAAACAAGATAAAAGATTTTTATTAGATTTCTAGATTTTATAAAAAATAATTGCTTTATTTCATAAAATATAATTTTAAAAAATAATTAAAACTCGAAACTGTAATTCAAATTTTTTTATTCTTAATAAAGTTATGACTTTAGTATATTTATTTATTTATTTATTTGTTTCATAGAAAGTGGCAACATCCATTGTCAGTTCTCAAATTTAATGTTTATTAACCGCCTTAACTCTATCTTTACTCTTTAGGTAAACTTCCCGCTTATGGCTTTTCTACGGTTCTACCATTATATGTTATTATATAATATAGATTTCAACCGTAGTGGAAAACTGCGAATTACGTCACTACTATACAAAAATACTCTATGGTTACTACTATGCTAAAAAAAGTACCTGACGGCATAACTTAAATATTACCACTTATTCACAAGATATATTTAAAATATTAATTTAACTAATAATATTATGATACATATTATATTATATTATTGGCCGTCAAGAACAAAGTTGATACTATTAATTTGACAGGCCACCGTCACTCAGTTTGTTGATACAACAATATAATCTGTACTCTGTATTTATTACTTAGATGTTATGTTAAATATCTGTGCTCATATCAGTCAATCATGGAAATCGTCGGGTGATTGTTGTGCAAACTCTATTTATTTTTTTATTTCGTGAAAAATTATTTTTTTGTTGTTTGAGTTTCTTGATTTCATACCATTTTATGTGTTTATTGATTTGGTGAAAATGCATTAAGTGTTCCAATGAGTTAATCCGTTGTATTGATTGAATGCTTGGTTGAAAATTTCAACATCATCATGAAGGTGGACTTAGGCGTTTGGAGGCGACGCAACTTATTAAACCTTGCAGCAGGTTCGTGAATTTATCTCGTTAATTAACCAAATATCATTTAATAGTAATAAGTTAAAATCTAAATTGTTAAGAAAAGCAGTAAACAATTTAACATAACATTATGGCACAAAAAGGTAGAGACACCACACAGCTGGTTGCTTCTATAAAGTGGACTTGTTATACTAATTGATAAGTCATGAAGTAAGAACAACTAATATGGAACATGTTAATAAAAGTTGTGTTAGTTGCAATATTGAAACCACTAACTTTTAATTCTGTAAATGTATAAAGTATTATGGACCTTAATTAAACAAACAGTTTAAAAATGTACACTTTTTCTAATCATTGTCTTAAATTATCCTACTGTAAAATAGTATACATACCATTTTTTTTAATAACAACTTTAAATTGGTGTTTTTTAAAAACTGCAAACCCATATTGCATTTATTTCACTAAAAATAGAATTGTTTGGGTTAGCAGATCATGATCACAATGTAGAGTACCAAATATAGTCAGTATTGGAGTTTTATAATATACAGGTCCTAGAAAAACTTAAAATTTATTAAAATAGACACTCTTGCTTTTTAAATAAATAAAAATAGTCAATGAAGTCATACGTTAACAGTTGATTTGTTCAAATGTATCAATTTTTTATGCTCAGTTTAGAATGCTAATAGGGCACAGAGTATACCTACAATATATGACAAACATGTTTACATTGCATAAAGTGAGAATGCAGTTCAGAGGTGAGAGCAATTCACTGGCTGTGTTGTTCTATGTTAGAAAGTTGCTCTCATTCTACAATATGTGCTTGAACAATACATACAACTTGTGTTTACTTCTATATTCAATTATGAAAATTTAATGTTGTTAGCGATATAGCTACTTATGTAGGTGTACAGTTTGAACAAAACATAATATTATTTTACAAAGTTGTAATATAAATACATATATATATTTATATATATATACACACACACACATGAGTGTTACATTTAAGAGAATGCTAATTTTAAAAACTTTCTAAAATCTTTTGTTTGCTTATTCCAAACATGTAAGGAACAATAAAGATAATTAATACAATACAAATTTTTTAATGTCAATTTAAGCATATCCTCTCAATCAGAAAAATAAACTTAAACTCTGAAAGATATAACTAACTTTACAGTACATATATCCTCCATAATTGAAACATCCCTTGGACAATGAGTGGGCGACGCCATTGCTATCCATATTTTTATATTCATGGGTGTGTTTTGATAACAGTGTTGAGCAGGTGGTAACTAACGACGCGTGACTACGCCCCGCCTCATTATACATTTAGACCCGATTCCTATATCTAAAACACGAGTCATAGTTGCTTCGGGTCGAAATTAGTTTATTAAGAAAAATTTACGAATTGCAGAATGTATAGAATCTCGGCCCTTCTATTAGAAATATTTTAGTACTCTCTCTCGCTAAACACTAAAACAGTTGTCAGCAAAGCAATGTCTTGGAAGGCCACATAGGCCTCTATAAAGAAAACGATCAGGGTTATATGTCTGACCATTGCTTGATTGTAGGGTAATAGGAATTCACATCATATCATGACAGTTCCATACATATAACAGAAAACCATGTAAATCAAAATTTATTATGAATAAAGTCATATAAAACTTTATGTAGGTAAAACAAATAGTTGGTCTGAGGAGCCGTTGTATGTAAAAAGTATCTTCTGATCGCATTGTTTACATTTACAGTCAAAACCGTTTACGACGACATCGTTTAGAACAACATACCGGTTATATTGACCAAAATCAAAGGTCCCGGCTGAATTCTGTTGTATTAGGTACTTAATTACAACGTCATCGGCTGTTACGACTATCGGTTTTTACGACCAAATATGAGTTGAGTCCCTTCGATGTCGTTATATCAGCTTTTGATTTTTTTATTTTTGTTGTGCACTTTCTTTTTTGTGCTGACCCTTGAAATTGACACGCTAATAGCATTACCTAAATAACTTGCTGTGCCTACTTAACCGTCAAGAGTCGGGTCGTCGTGGGAATTTTGTTACAATGGTGAATGGAGAAATCCTTATCGCGCTTGAGTCCGTGCATAGGGTTTATTTTAATTAAATTGAAGCATACGAGAAACCTGAATTGTTTTTGTTTACAATTTAAGTTATATAAACGTAATAAACTTATCATAAACACTATTCGTATTGTATTATTTTTACTTCAAACCAATTATTGAGATAACACGTGGTGTATCTCTTAGATCTTTCGGTTTACATTCTCACCATCGATGTCGCGTTTCGTTTAATTGTGATTGGTCAAACGGAAAGACAGCTATTGATACTTTTAGAGAGCTCAATCTACATTGTATAGAATCACTAAAGGAAGATACAGTGTACCGGGGCTATTACGTCTTATGTTTCATTTTAACTTACAATCGTAATAAAAAAATGAAGTACCAGAAAACTGTATGAATATATCCGTTAAAAGCAAAAAATGAGATATGATTACACAATGTAATTAACTATTACAGTTAATTGTCTCGCATAATATCGATACAGTCGTGGGAAAGCGTATCGTAGTACGGCTTGCCACATTTGCAATGGTGCTTTGCCAATGTTATGGTAAATTAGTGGTCATGCACTATATTACTAGACAAGTAATATTAGAAATTCGCGGGGTAACGTATAGAAACAATAAGTTTTTTATTTTTATAACAGAATTAACATTTAGTGTTTACTTAATTTGTAGGAGTTAATAGAAAAATTGCGACTCAACAATGTGATTTTTGACTTCGAGAAGAATTTTAACCATGTTACGGTTTATTCTGCATGATCGAGTTTCTTCAGGTATGAGGAAGTGTGCTGGTAATTACCGCATACTGGAGATAAAATACTGCATTATAATTATGTACTGAGAAATGACACTCCTAACAAAACTTGATAGTATAAAGAAATTGAAGAAGCTTGACTCGACCGGGAGACCATTTTCCTTAAGAGTTTTTTTATACACGCGACTAGAACATAATTAATTTTTGCAAGTCGAAGGAAATGAAGTAATACCTCAGTGTTATAATAATTAATAGCAGCGTGTCTGTTACTGTAAAATATAATTATTTTTTTGTTTTCTTATCAACCCTTGCAAAGTTATCTATAGGTACAATTTAAAATGTTGTTGAACAGTTACCCAGCAACGGTTGCATGCCATGCTAAATTTAGGGTCATTAAAATTTTTAATATAAAGGGTGGGATTACAGACCCTAATAATTTCAAGGATGAGATTTAGAGTCGGAAACAAATTATATGAGAGAGAGAGTATATTTAAACTTGTGTGCTTTTAGTGTATATATTACTAATAATATTAATATTGTCTTTGGAGAATAGTCATACAAAAGTTAATATGTTTAAAATTATAAATGCATTTTTTAGTGTACTTAAGATTTTTTTAGGTATGTAGATCTAAATATAACTTGAAACTCCTATAATCAATGAATTTAGCTTAGCTTTGACAAGCTTACTTGCCTAAATAATAGCTAAACAAAACGTTGGTTAAATGTTAGTAGGATAAGAAAATATGTAGGAAACATTTGCATTGCGCTGGTTTGTTTACCGTGGTAGTGTTGCGGTAAGATGGTGGAGATATGGTCACAATCCTCAGATTTGCGATGGTGTTCGTAATGACAACAACGGTGCTTGATACCGTTAGCGGTCGTAAATTACGAGCGATAGCGGATTATGTAAATTATAAACAAATTATTGTCACTGACTCGTGGTTTGGAAAGG